TAATAATTTCAACTAAATATACATTAGAGATCAATACCCATTAAATTTGGTTTTTATGAAAACAATGCGGTTTTGTTTGTATTATTACTGGATTTATTAAATTAAATGATAATTTTTTAGAAAACATAGATTAGTTTTGTTAATGTTTATCTAATTAATTAACTAAATGTATACATGCGTTAAACCAAATTTCTATATTTATTTTTACTCGCCTTTAATTTCATCCACAACTTTAGGTTTGGATTTTTGATAAATACTTTCATAGTTTCATATAAACTAAACTAAAATCAATTTGATATCATGAACTAACAACACATTTATTTTGTAATTATAAAAATGTAAATAACTTTCTGTAGTACACAATGTTTGTCATATGTTTTTACTGTAGGTTCATATAAAGTATAAAAAATTATTTTTAATATAATCCTTATAATCCTTTTAAATACCGTAACCTTTTTGTATCATAAATTATATGATTCTTTATATAGATATATTATTAAAAAGTAATTTAGCTATTTATAATTATTAAATAAATTGAAATTATTATTAACAGTAATATTATATATATAGTTGTAATATAATGCACTAAAAATATAATAATCAAATTATTTGAATCATTGGCTTAAAAATATCAATAATTTTATAAAGTTAAGGTTAAAAAGCTATTTAAGTTACTAATGAATTAAAATCAAACTTAATATTAAGATTATGGTTTGTATTGATTCCTAGTAGGAATTTCCTACAATAATAGTATTAATACAAATAGACGTCAAACTAAACCACTCGCTAAAAACTTTAGTATTGAATTAGTTAACATATAGAGTCTATAATTATAATTATAGACTATATGCTAACTAATTCAATACTATTGTTTGATATAATATATAGAAATGAAGAATTTATTAGGAATCCGTTATATATTAGATGTATCACACAATGTATATATAAGATAATATATATATATAGATTATAAGATAATAATTTACATAAATAATTTAAATTTTGATATTATTAAAACATAATTTATTATACAAACTAGTATTTTTAATATAATTATTATATATACATTAACTACTAGTAGTAATCATATTTAATAAATATAATTAGATAATATATTAAGCTTCTTGTTTATCAATTTGTAATTTATTTTCAACATTTATCACTGGTTTAGGTAAAGTCGTAAAAAAGTGAATCCATAGCATAATAACAAACGGTATGAACATTAAGCCACTTGTTATGAGAAATGCCAGTCCAGCCATAGTGTCCATTGTTTTCTTAAATATTGTTGTAAAAAAAGATGAGGCGATTAATGGTATCACAGAATCAATAGCTGACAATAGACTCGATATTTTCCCCAATTCTTGCGGTTCGACTATTTTGGCAAAATGTGAGCGAATACCGACCGAACCTAATGTTCCGATTGCACCGATAGGTATAGAAATGTAATAACCATTTGGCGATAAGATAACTCCCAGAACAATATATTGTGCAAAAAATGATATCAATCCTAACATAGACAGTGTTGTGTCTTTTAAGTTGAATATCTATATATATATATATATTAATAATAGTTTTTAAAAATAAATATTATCAATTTGTTAAAAACTCAATTAATAATATAAGTTATATAATAATAATTACTTTGATAAGTATGGGTGCAATGACAATAGAGCCCAGACCTGCTACAACACTATTGACAGCACTGACATTACTATAGATGGCTGAATCCCAGGAGTAGACCTTTTGACAAAAAGAATAGAGAACTATATTGGGACCGATATATCCCAGCATATAGATAGTCATCGCAAGTATGAGTAGCCATATCTGTGCCCGAATCAGATCTGGACGTCGTTTAAAACATGTGCTAAACATTTCCCTAACGTTATTAAAATCAAACAACAGTTTTAACGGATGTTTTTGATTCTCGTAATGACTTATTTTATTATCAATAATCTGATCATCTGATCCACTGTTGTTTGTTTCGTCAAAATCTTTGCAATACTTTATAAATTTTTCAGAATCTTTACTTTCATTGATGAAAAAAATAGTCCAAAATAATTGAATTAATTGTGCTAATCCTACAGTAATATAAACACCAGTATAATTATATAACTGTCCATTTTTAAATATAGGTGTCGTATTTAATATTAATCCGCCTAAATAAGTGGCCAATATTGTACCTAGTTATTTTATTTTAAAAAAATGTTTTTAATATGATCATATAAAACATAATAATAGTTTATTATTATTAATTTTTATATTACTATGTATTTTCTGTATATTAAGATCTATATCTGAATTTATAAAATGTTTTTTGTATGATTTACTATAATAACAGCATATTTTTTATGACATACCGATAGCCAATGCAGTTTCGATACTAATCATTCTTAAGGCCAACCATTTATGTGGTGTAGTTGTGGTTATATAGGACCAGAAAGCTGTGTGTACTGTAAACAGACCGCCGGATAACATCATTGGTATTACATTAAGAAAACTATAATAAGGAGCTAATTTCAGATTAAAAAATAAATACATATTAATTATAGACTCTGTTAACTCAAACAATCTATTGCATTATTATTTATATATTTATTAATATCTTACAAATGTCGTAGAAATATATAGTAAATATTGATATTATAGTTTCAACCAAACCAGCAATCGATCCAATAATCAATAATATCTTTTTTGCCATCAAATACTTGTCAGTCCACGAGCCGACAAATAGTGATGCAATTATCGACGGTATTGTCAATATTATAGTTTGATATAACATAAAGGTTTGCTTTTCACCTAAAATAACTGATTTTATGTGCTCCGTGTCCTCGTTGGCCGTCATTCCCGGTAAATGTTTACAATAAGTTGAGTTAAGGCCGTAATTGATTAAACATATCTTATCTTCTATGAGCTGATCTGACGGTAATTTTTTAAGGAATACAACAAACTTGAAGAAAAAAACGTACGGCTCTATTGTTAATAAGCAAATAAATCGACTAAATTGTCGAAATTTACTAAAAAAATTATTATTTATTGATTTATTAGACATTTTTTGCGACTTTCTATTATTTGGATAATACAAGAAATTACAAATTATTATTTGAAATTTTTTAAATAACTCGTTTAAGTATTTTTTTAATAACAAAATAAATCTTTATAATATTTTTAAGTTAAGAGTATTAAACAATTATTGTATAATATTTAATTAAAGTTTATTTATTAAGATAAAATTTTATGCTTAAAAGTATTTTACTTTATACTTAAAATTAAAATGATTGGCTAAGAGAAGCAATAATTTATAAAGAATCCTAAAATGTAATCTATTTGTAAGCAATTTAATCAAAATAGTATATAATAAAGAAAATAATTAATTAATAATTTGTAGAATTAGTTTTTATGATAAACATAATTAATTAGTGCATTAAATTCAATAATCATTTTTGCACACTTATTAGCAAATAATTCTTGTTTGATAAGTAATAAATTTCAAATAAAACAACACTAGAGATCAATAACAATAAAATTTGGTTTTATGAAAAACCGGCAAAACGGTTTTGTTTGTATTATAGCAAACTGTTTTACCGATTTATTAAAATAATTGATAGTCTATTAGATATTATATATAAGTTTTATTAATATTGATCCTATTAATTAACTAAATGTATATATGTGTTATTCCCAATTTCTATATCTATTTTTACTATCTTTTGACTTCACCCACAACTAGAGATGGGCAAATAGAAAGTTTCTAATAAATTTCCCTGAGAAAGTTTCTAGAAAGTTTCTCAGGAATAAATTTCTATAGAAATTTAACTTTTTTTGTTATACTATGGGATCCCCATATCTATAGATATTGTAAAACTATAAATATATTAATGAGACACTACTATACATATAATATTATATTATGATATGTAATGGTAATATAGATAACATGGTAATGTAGATTACTGATAATACTATTATACAAATGGGATACCTATATAAATAATTATAATTATTTAATAATAATCAGTTTTGTAAAATTTTATTCACCATTTTATTATATCATAATTAAATAAATAAATTTTTTACTTTAATTAATAATTAAAATACTATTATTTAAATATTATTATAAAAACAATGTTAAAGAAAACAAATATCGAGAAAACAAAATTAACCATGGGGATCCCATAAATAGAAATTTCTTTTAGAAGCTTTCTAGAAATTTCTCTTTTTTGCCAACACTACCCACAATTTTTTTTAATATAAGTCTCTAATATGATATAAACTAAACTATAAGATAATTTATATCATGAACTAACAGATTTATTTTGTAATTATAAAAATGTAAATAATGATTGCCATATGTTTTTTTACTTTAATTTCATATAATGTATAAAACATTATCTTTTAATATAATCCTATAATCCTTTTAAATACTCTAACCTTTTTCTATCATAGATTATATGATTCATAATATAGATATATTATTAAAATGTAATTTAGATATTTAGAATTATTACATAAATTGAAATTATTATTTACAGTAGTATTGTATATAATTGTTATATAGTGCACTAAAAATATTATAATAAAATTATTTGGATCTTTGGCTTAAAAAATATCAATAATTTTATAAAGTTAAGATTAAAAAGTTATTTAAGTTTCTAATGAACTAACATCAAAGTATTATTTAAATTTTACTGAAAAATTGGAGAATTTTTATTAAGAAACTTTCCTCCCTTGAGAATCCTAACGAATCCTAATTAAGATATATTATATAATTTATTATATAATAATGAAAACAAAATTACAAAATATAATGTTCTTATTAATAAAAAATAGTCAATTTTGTAAATATTTTTTTATATTGTTAAAAAAACAATATTCTTAATTATTAATAGATTAGTTGTTTTTTAAATATGATAATTAAAACATTAGATTTTTTTAATTATTTTAAATATAAAATTATTACAAAACAATTTTATTAAATTGATATACCTATTTATAATGTTAGATTAAGCATCGAGTTTTTTAATTTTATTTTCTGAATTATTATTAGTATCATAATTAGGTAAACTCGTAAAAAAGTGAATCCATARTATAATAACAAACGATATAATTAATAGACCACTTGTTATAAAAAATGCCAGTCCGGCCATTGTATCCATCGTTGCCTTAAATATTGATATATAAAAAGWTGATGCGATAAATGGTAGCACAGAGTCAATGGTTGACATCAAACTCGATATTTTTCCCAATTCGTGCGGTTCGACTATCTTTGAAAATTGTGACCGAATACCAGCCGAACCTAACGGTCCCACAGAGCCTACAGGTGTGCCTATGAACCAGCCCGTTGGCGATAATATAAATCCCATTATAATATATTGTGCAAAAAATGATAACAATCCCACCATAGCTAAAGTTGTGTCTTTAAAATGAAATATCTATGTATATTATAATAGAAAATTTTTTTAAAAAATATTTGCCCACAAAATTGAATTAAATTAATTACTTTAATAAGTACAGGTGCCACTATAATAGTACCGCATGCTTGTACCACACTATATATAGTACAGCCATAACTATAAGTTTTGGAGTCCCACTCATAGACTTTTTGGCAAAAAGCGTATAGAAAAACATAGGGACCTATATATGTCAACATATATAATGCCATCGATAGTATCAATAGCCATATCTGTGCCCGAATCAGATCTGGACGTCGCTTAAAACATGTGGCAAACATATCGATGACATTATTAAAATCAAATAATAGTTTTAATGGATGTATGTCTCGGTATTTGTCATATTGAGTCTCTTTGTTATCAGTAATCTCTTGATTGTCTTCTGAATCACTTTTGTCTGATTGATCCTCAAAATCATTACAATATTTCGCAAATCGTTTGGCATCTCTGGTCTCATTAATAACAAATATTGTCCAAAACAGTGCAAACAAATGTGCGAAACCAATAATCAATTCAACGCCCGTATAATTATATAACTGACCATTTTTTAACATAGGTGCCATATTTAATATTAAACCACCTAAATATGTTGCTAATATATCACCTGCATTTATGCACAATACAAATGCAATATTAATTGATAAATATTTAAAATAATCTATTAAAAATTTTAACTATACTAGAAATCATTAAAACTATTTTATAACAATCATTGAAAATATTTTATTAAGACATAATCATTTTTCATACCAATAGACATTGCAGTCTCTATAATAGTTATCCTTAAGGCCAGCCATTTGCGAGGAGTAGTTGTAGTTATATAGGACCAGTAGGCCGTATAGACGCCAAACAAACCACCCGCTAAAAACTTTAGTATTGAATTTGTTAACAGTAAGTAAGGAGCTATATTCAAATAATTATAAGATTATACATTAATTGTATATTTAGTATTTAATATGTAATATAATAAATATGTAACTTACAGGCACTATAAAAATATATATTTATTATATTGACTATTACTTCAGCTAAACCGGTAATTGATCCCATAATCAATAATAGTTTTTTGGCGCCCAAATACTTGTCAGTCCACGAGCCGACAAACAGAGAAGCAATAACCGATGGTATTGTCATCATTAATGTTGAGTATAAGCTATACGATTGCATTTCTTTCAAAATTATAGACTTCTTGTGCTCCGTGTCCTCAATGGTTGTCATTTCTGGTAAATGTTTACAATAAGTTGAATTTAAATCATAGTTATAGAGACATATTTTATCTTCAATGAGCTGATCCAATGGTAATTTTTTAATAGTCGTAACAAATATAAAAATAATAACATAAGGCTCTATAGTTAATAATGTCATAAATCGGCAAATTTGCTGAAACTTGCGATAAATATTTGAACTGTTTTTCATTTTGTATAGTTATAATTAATAAGAATTATGTTTGTATAAATAATTTAACTAAATAAATATAAAAAAATACTTTATTTTTTAACAATTTAATAATAAAATTATATATTTTTATCATAATTATATTTTAAAACTAAGACTTTATAAAATTTTATTTATAAAATAAATATAGTAATAGTGAATATAAATAAATATAAATTGCATAAATGTCATAATGTTAATCTAAAAATTAGCAATAATTACTAATCATTATTAGGAATTATAAACTCTAAAAGTTTTTACAATAATTGATATAATAATTGACTGATATACTGGTTATAATAATACTAATGCTAATATTATAATAATATTAATTACTATTATAAGTACTGAACATTTTTGTACCAAAAATAATAAATTTATTATTATTGCCAATAAACTTGTTTTTTGATTATATTGTTATTATATTTACCATTAAATTWAAAATCTATTGCAACATAKCACACTAAATAATGTTATTTTAAATAAGAAAAATAATAATTTATTGATAATTGATAATATAAAAACAATTTATTTATTTTGTAATTTCTGACAAAAAAAGAGAAATTTCTATGAATGTGATCCATGTGTTAATTTTRTYACYTTTATGATTGTTATCTGGTTATTATACAATCTAATTACTAATAATAACTAAATATCATAATTAGTATTTTAATTAATATTCAAAGTAAAATTAGTCTATTTAATTACATTAAACTAYAATTGAATTATTAATAAARTTTTACATAAACTAATTTTAATTAGATAATTACAGTAATTACTATATATAAATATATATATATATATATATATTATATAGAGCTGCAATATCTATAATAGTTTCAGATATTTTCTCAAATCAATGAACAAATTGTACTGGACACTAGACTAGATAATTATCGTATTGTCAATAAACATTTTGTTGATATAGTAAAACTAGACTAACAAACAATATTAATATAACATATAAATATTTGATATTTTATTTGTATTATATATAATAGTATATATAAGTAGTATTCTATGAAACAATGTTATATTTAGTACTGTATTTGTTTCAACTATAACATTGCTTATATGTTTGTCATATTGTTTGGCCTCTATTTATAGTCAATTTGATCTCTATTTCGATGTCCAAACAGTCACACAGTTCRCTGGCCATACTCTAYACGTATAGGTGTCGAACAACACGATTGTCATATCGACAGAAATGGAAAMTCCAGTCAATGATTGAACGTTTGTGTGGACCAGACATTGGATTTTATTGTTTGGATTTATTTCCAATGAATAACTGGCAGTTTATRCTTGAGTTTAACTGAAAATCATTTATTACTATTGAATACATTTGTATAAATTTATTTAATGATTATTTGCAAAATAGTGATAAATATATATAAAAAGTTCAGTGTTATTGATTAAAATTATAAAARAAATTAAATCTAYTATTTTTTTTATTAAACACAATAACATAAGATATATAATACAAAATAAATAATTATAATGATATTTTTAGCAAATAGTTATCAAATAATCAGATAATAATTATACATTTTAAAAATTATTTTTRACTCATAATGTTCTGTAAATATCATTTATTTTATTAAATACTATAAATACTATTAAAACAAAAACATTGGAAAAATAAGTTATCATTTAGTTTCAAAACTACAGTTTAACATTAAAACTATCTATAATTAGACTAGTAATTATACATTTAGTATAATTATTATAAATCCATAAATTTAATTTTTTCTAACATTGAAAAATAAAACATTTGTATCCAAGAAATGTCTCAATTATATATAAATATTTTTATTTATTTTTATCAAGATAAGATAACAATAAATAATATRTATATATATATAAGTAATATATATATAATTCCAACGATAAAAAAAACTATAATAAATTATTCAACAAAAATTCCATACATACAACAAAAATATAACAATTTATTATAACAATTTCAATTTTAAAAAAAGTATATTTATTGTATTTATTATATTTATCTTATACTTATACCGTTTATAAGTTTATAGTGATTATAGTATTATAAAATAATACAATATTAATTAACAATAAAATAGTTGCTTTAAAATTATATATTAACTTTTACTTTAATTTATTATTTATTAATATTATTATTGTTTACATGTTTATATTAATAGTTTCAATTAACTCGTTCAAAATGATTATAAAAGTAATAAATTTTATTACTTTTAAGAAATAAATGTTTTCAAAATGCCATTTTTATTATTTTATTATTAATAACTGTAATTTTGATAATTTAACAGACAATTTATTATAAAATTGTGTTTAATATTACAAAATTTCAATATTCATTGTGTATTAATCTGAGAAATATTTTTTAAAAATGTTAGATATTAATACTTTATTGATATTTATTTTAAAAACTAATTTTCTAATTTTTTCAACAAAAAATATATACATTTATGCAATCGACAGCATTAATAATAATAATAATAATAATAATATCAATAATTTTAATGATAGTTTAGAAGTTGATAATGAAATGTGTTCATATGTGTCCCGGATTATACCTGAATGTACATGCTCATTTATTGATAAAACATCAGATTTAACTCAATTATATTGTCAATCATCTAATAACAAACCACTGGATATAAAAGCAATATTCAATACATTATATMATAATCATTTATACGATTTTAACTATTTTGTATGGAAAGCACCGTTAGTTAATAATCAACTGCCCGATGAAGCATTTGATAGAGTAATATTGCATAATATAACATTTGAATCAAACAACTTGGAAATGATAGATAAAAATGTATTTGGTAATCRTAATGTTATTAAAAAATTTACCATGATATCACCAACTAGACTCAAAAATTTGAATTCAACCTATAATTTCTACACTGCATTTTCACAATTAAAATTAGTTGAAAAACTAACTATCAGTTTAGATACAAAAGACAGTCATATAATACCAAGTAATGCATTAAACTGTCCACTATTGGATCAATTGGTGTTTGTCGGCAATTTTGTTATAAACAACATTGAACCTGATGCTTTTATTAAATTGCTTTCAATTGATACTATTGATATGACTAGAGTGAAACAAATTTTGAAAATATCATCAGGTGCATTTAGATTGGATGGCATATGGAAACATGTAATCACAATTGATTTGTCAAATTCAATGTTAAGCGATGACAATATAGAAAGTGGAGCTTTTCATACTAAATATAAACAAATTATACTTCATTTAGGTATTTATAATAAAAATTTATATTTATTTTATTTCTAAAACTATGTAATAATTATTGATTTTTTTTTAAATTTAGAATATAATAACTTTAAATTTATAAATGAAACGCTATTCAAAAGTTTTCTCGATTATAACAACAATAATGTATTGTTTATGGAGTCAAACAAATTAGATTGTAGTAAAAATATGTTACATAAATATGATTGGCTTTTAAATAATAAAAACCGATATATTAAACGGGTATTTGCTAATTGTGAGGACGGAACTAACATTTGGGACTCACACTCACAAACAGGTAGTTTGAGTWTACAATATTTAYAATATATATACGGTATATAATATAGATTATTTAGTTTGTTAAATATATAATTTTAATCATTACATAAAGCAACAACATTAAGACCAACAACTAAATCCCCAATACATACACCTCCTAAATGGTTGGATGACCTGTTAGATAAAGATATTGATACTATTGATGATGTCGTCGATACACTGGATGTTTTAGTAAATAATACTGAGGACAGTATACCATTGAATTATATGGAAAACATCAATAGAGTAATAGAAGTTATTTCCAAATTAGATGAATATTTGCGTATAAATGAAACAATGATTGATTCAGAAATATCTATAAATATTACAGATATTTTTGTTCAATCATTTAGTCAATTGATAAATCAGAGACAGGCCTGGATGGACGGCACCGATAGTCAGAGATCATATGCAGCCTCACAACTATTAAACTTTATACAAACAACTGCTTTCTCTACTAATTGCTATTTAAATGATACAATAAATACTATGGAGTTTATTAGCAAAAATCTTTATGAAAAACAATATTACAATATAAGCAATGAAATAGTTTTTGAATATAACTCATCACATATTGAAATACCAGAAGGTATTATTGTCCCATCAGACCCATCGAACAGAGCACTGGTATGTCAGCAAAACACAAAAATTGGTGCTCTTATACAAGGACTTGAAGACAATCTTATTGGCGATCAAACAGATCAGCAACAAATCAATACACCAATTCTAGCATTTAGTTTGGATCCATCACTAAATAATCATCAATTATACGGCAAATATGTTAGTATTAGGTTTGTATTAGCTATAAAAGCTATACAACTTTATATTAAAAAATATTAAGATTATCGTAATATTATTTTAATTAATAGTTTAAAACATAATAATCGTCTTTATTTGGGTGATGATATCAAATGTGTATTTTGGGATTTTAGTCATCAGAAGTGGTCACAAGACGGCTGTCGATATGTAATCAGTCAGTCAACTCGTGAGCATACAGTTTGCAAGTGCGACCATTTGACAAACTTTGCAGCATTGATGGACACCAGTGGCCGAGAGACTGATTCATTAGCCAAAAATGTGTTGACACTATTGTTTTGCTCGCTTTCGGTTATATGTCTAATCATAACCATTGTTATAATTATGCGAAAAGATTTGTTGATTAAACTACGGAAACGTTTTCTGAAAACAAATACCAAGAAAAGTAAACCACAAACTTTGAATCAAATTACTATAGAAATGCTTAAGAGAAGGGATCTGATTGTACTTAATCTTTGTGTATGTCTATTGGTGGCAGACTTATTGATAATGATTGGTATGGATAGGAATGAGTCTTTGGTAATAACATTTTTGTTACTGATTAACTGAACTCAAATATATTTTAACAAATTTAATAATTGATCAAATATTTTCAGATAGTGTGTCAATTCATATCTGCATTACTATTATATGCCTTATTGTCTGTCTTTTTATGGATGCTATTACAGTCATTTCATTTATTTCGCATGACTTACAATGTATTTCATAAGTCAATTAAAGCGTACGGTTTTTATCTGTTTGCATACGGAATGCCGGTTCTCATAATTATTATCGGGTTATTAAGCGTTTGGAATAATGAGGAATCGTTTGGTTCGGCACTCGTAGGCAATGACTATTTGTAGGATTTTTTTGTTTGTTTAAAACATTGTAACTATTTCTTAGTATAATCTAATAAATTTTTATTATTTTTTATTTACTTTACAAATAGCTGCTGGATATCATCGCCTAAATATCCTAATAATATCTATATATTTTTAGGTAAAAACAATATATTTATTTGAAACATGTTTTATAAATTGATAATTTTTATGATTAGGTCCCGCGATAATTGTTTTGTTACTTAATTTATCATTTATTGGATATCTAATATATAAAGTAATCAAAGTATCAAAATCTCCGGTAAATAAGCGACAAGTGTTTGGATTTCTCTTATTAGTCCTGAATTCAGGCATTACTTGGACTTTATTTTTAGGTTATATGAATAGATTGACGACATCTCCTAATGCATTGTCATATGTTTTCATTATTTTAAACGGATCTCATGTATGTATGATATCTACAATAATTTTTCAAACTAAACAAATACCGGTAATATTATCGTTAATTTAATCGCTTATTTTTCTACTTTAGGGAGTTTTTATATTGGTTTATCAATTAGCAATACAGATGTAATTTTTTTAATTACATTTTATTATAATATTTAATTTTAATAAATATTTATATAATTTATTAAATTTGTGTTTAAATTAGTGTTTACAAGAGTTTTCATAAAAAGTAAGCAAAACTTACTGTCATTTATTTATTTTATTTATCTTATATGTATGTGTAAATACAAATATAACATGCTATTGGCGTTTTAAAATTTTGTATTTTATATAAAATTATGTATTATTAATAAATTGTATTATATTATTGAATATGTTGACAATTATTGATAATGTTTTAACTAATAAAATTAAATTTCAAAAAATAACATTTTTATATGACTTATGAATTACCGGTAAATCTTATGGCCAATTGATAAACAAATATGAATATACCCTAAATAAAAATAATAGTTAATAATATTATAATTAATAATTTTGTGACTAAATAAATATTTCAATCTTAACTTACTTGCGATGCATTTAGTATAATGAAAATATATGATACAATATTTGAAAATATAGTCAATTGATTCATATATGCTATGAATAGTGACCACGAAATGCCTGAATTCACAACTAATAATAGAAAACCAAATACTTGTCGTCTATTTATAGTTGATTTCATTTGTAGCACTTTTCTCAATAAATAAGATATAAATAATAAATTTATTACAATTATGATAGAAGCAGGTCCTGGATAATAATAATAGATAATTTTTCTTTAAAAATTAGCAATGTAAAAATAGATATAATTTTTTCAATATTAACATACCAACAAATATATAAACATGATTTGGGTGCTTAGATGATGATATCCAGCAACTAAAATTTAATAAAAAATAGTTTAATTTGATTTTTAAGAATAACTAATAATATATTTTTTTTTTATCTATTTATCATCAAAATTATATCTAATAATACATACAAATAGTCTGATCCGACAAGTGATTCAAAAAATCCAGATTCACTCCAAACACTTGATAGTCCTATCAAAATGATAGGCACCGGTAGTCCGTAACCAAACAACAGGTACAACCAATTATTGAATGCTATCCGAAATACATCGTATGTCATCCGAAACAAATGAAATGTCTGTAATAACATCCATATGAAAGCAGACAGTAATGAATATAAAAGTAGAAATGACATCATTTGGCAAACAATCTATAAAAATATAAATAAATATTTACAAAATTATTGTTTTTATCTTGAATTACAGATACATCCATCTATTCTAACAATTATTAGCATTTGATAGCTTACTTACATAAGTCTCATTCCTGTCCATTCCGATCATAATCAGCAAATCTGTGACCAAAAAACAGACACAAAGATGCATAACAATCATATCCCKGCGCTTAAGCAACTGTTTGGTCATTTCGTTGAAACTTTTTCTATTAGGACTACGAGTAATGCCAAATAATTTTGAGATTATTAKTGTAAACGAGTTTTGTTTAACAATCAACGCAATGGTCATCAATAGACAGATCACAGATATAGTACAAAACACAAGAGTGAGCACATGTTTGACAATATCGTTAGTCTGGCGGCCAGTTGTGTCCATTAATGCGGCAAAGTTTGTCAAATGATTGCATTTGCAAACACTATAATCCCGATTGGATTCTTCGGCTATTAGCCAACAGCCCTCATGTGACCAATCATTTTGAGTGAAATCCCAGTAAACACATTCAATATTATCACCAAAAACAAGTTGAAACTTATGTTTTAAACTAGTAATTATAATAATAATTATAATATATCGGTACTTATTGTATTAATCAAATTATAATTATAATTACCGTATTTTAACAGTTAGACTATCATTCAATTTATGTGCAATTATACTATTAGTTACAGAAAAAGTTATAATATCGGTGTTAATGTCTTCAAAATTTTCGGCCAAACCACTGACTAAAGCAGCCATCGATGTATTTTGAAGACATTTATCATTCATTGAGTCCTCATTTGTCATCATTTGCTTTAACAACAGGTATTTGTATAGAGGATGAGTTATATTCAAATGTAATACCGGTGCTTGAACTGTAATAATGTTGTTGAACTAGATTTTTGCTTAAAATTATTTTTGTTTCAATCGTTGAATTGAGAAAACAATTGGTTGAAAGGCACTSAATTGRATGTACATTAACACTTGCGATGCAATGTCCACTTTCTGGCTATCGGTGCCACTCGTCCAAGCAATAGACTGATCAATCAATTGGCTAAACAATTGRACAAAACTATTTCCTATTTTGTCTGCAATTGTGGGATCAGTTATATTTTCATTAGTATTCAAAAAGTCAATCATTTTGGTGACAACTTTGATAACTTTTTCGAGTCCTTCGATGGTTTTCAACGAATCGTCTTCTTTTGTATTATTTGTTATTAAATCAATTGAATCCATAACCTCGTCAACAGTTGTCATATTTTTATCGACCAACTCATCCAACCAACAGTCCTCTAAAACTGGTCCTCTCTCGTCAAACAATCCATTGTCCAAACATTTCCATCTAATCATTCCTATGCCTTGTGAACAGTTAACAATCGAGTACTGACCCCTGTCCACAGCAGGCCATTCCTCTATACCGTATTGACCATCATATGTGCCGTCATTGTTACAAAACTTTTCGGAAACAGTCGTTTTCAATGAGCTACTGGTCCACACTGTAGTCAATGTTGTAGTGGACAGTGTAGTTGTTATTGGTATGATTGTAGTGGTAATAGTTTCTGGTGTTGTTATGTTGTTAATTGTTGACTGTTTTGTTGGTAAACTATTTGTCGTTGTTGTTGATGTTTCTGTACATAAAAAGATAAGTAATTTTTTATTAAAAAATGTTTGTATTTTTTATTACCAAATTTCCAGTCAAACTGCCAAATAGTTTGTCCATTTGGACACATAGTGTCCAATACTTGCTTCTCATATAAATGTTTATTATCCAAAAGCCATTTGAATTCAAACCGTGATCTATGCCATGAATTACAGTTTAATGGATTGAACGCCAAAAATAGTAAATTATATGAATTGTTATCTAAAAATTGTGAAAATATTTCTTTTTTTATGTATTGAAGATTATTCAATACTTTAGAAAACAAATTGAAAATATTTAGTTATTTTTTTATAATTTTATCAATTAATTATAAAATATTCACTATTAATAATTATCATTAACTTTTATTATATAATAAGTAAAAAATAAATAATTTACCTAAATTTAAATAAACAGTTTTGCATTTAATATTGAAAGCTCCCGGTGCTATTTCATTGTCGCTTAATTGACTGTCGTATAAATTAATATACAATAGATCAGTTGGCAGAAAACATTGAATATCTTGATTAAATTGAAAAGCATTAACAGATATCCAATATATGTTTTCTACATAAGCAAAGTCAACTATCCGTAAATTGGTTAAGTTATAAAAGGCATAATCGCCGACACGGGATATATTGTATTGTCCGGCAAACAATATATACTTGAGTTGCGATGAGTTTTGCAAACAATCGTTTGATGTATTGAACGCATAGTCTGGTATTTCATGAGATATATATCTCTCAAAATTGATTTCCAATAATATTAGTGAACATATCGATGCAAACGCCCGGAACAGATCATAGTCGGTGTTGGGATAGTTGACTAATAATGTTGGGGACGACGATATCCTCCATTCAATAATACTATGCTGTGATGTACCTCTAAAAGCATCGGTATGTATGCGCTGTAAATTTGTTGATTTAAAATTAATTTGACTGATTTGTAAACTTTTGAATACATTTTTAGGTAGTAATCCCTCCATTACAGGGCCAGACCACACAAGCGATTCAAATAGTATTGAGTGATTGGACAGTTCAGTGTCCAATCGGTCAAACTCTTGCCCAATATCGACATCTGTTAGTGATTCACAATACAGATTACGAGAGTCTAAATTGTAATCACAATAATGCCAATTCAAGTCCCAAATGGATGAACCATTACTGCACCGGGCGTTTTGAATACGTGAGCTCAATGGCCAATCACTCAGTTTGTTGTTTAAAAGCCATCGAAATCGGTATTTATATTTTAATTCACAGTTTAGACGATTGCCCTCAAAGTTGATAATATTTGACGGATTGTTATCCAAAAACGGTCGGAATATATGTTCGTCGATAAACTCAAACTTATTATATGCTATAAATTGAAAACAAAACAAACAAAAAATATTTTGTCAAATGTTAGACTGCAATAAAAGTTTTTTTCCATTACTATAATTATGTCACTGATATAATATCAGATTATAAATATAAATACCTATGTCTAAGATAACTGTGCGACCTTTAATATCAAACACACCCACGTCTACTGTCTGATCATTCAATTGCAATGACTGTAATTTGATAATAAGTTGATTACACTGTAAACAAGTTTGCACTTGAAATGCGTGTCTATTAATGTGATCTACACTAATAACTTCAATATTAATATATCTAATATGTTTGACACTATAAAACACATAGTTTCCAACATTTTCTATACGATAATTGCCATTAAATGTAACACTAGTTATTGAATCGCTAATGAATGCATAGTCTGGTATATTATGTTTGACATCACTATTCAAATTAATTGCGAGCACTTGTAGTTTAGAAATGGATGAATAAGCTTTATATAAGTCATAGTCACTGTTTGGATAGTTTTGCAGTTTAGTCGATAAATAGTTGTTATACTTATCATTAAAGTGAATCCATTCGCGAATTTGTACAAAATTATTAATATTGTTGACATTGAATGCATTTATATGTATTTTTTGCAAATTTTTGGCTTTAAAATTAACATGATCAAATTTAAAATTTTGAAATATATTTTCAGGCAATACGCCTCCCGTAATGGAGGCATTCCATAGAAAATATTTAAAATACTTGTCATATGTTTGCAAACTATTGTTTAGTTGATTGAACTCACTTTGAATGTCTAGTTCATGACTATTAGATATACATATTAATTCATATGCTATAAGAAAACTACAATTTCCAGAATAATAATAATAATTAGTATTATTATTAATAATAAAATTAGAAACACTTTTATTATTTAATGAAACACTATTACTAAATATTATTAATGCTAATATAAAACTTAACAGACAAAATAGTAATTTAGTTAATATAACACAATTATACATATTTTACTAAATATGTCGTTGTTTATCATTTTTATTTTTTAAATATTTAAAAAAATATGCAAATTAAAACTTAAAACAATTAGCTTATATTTTTGATCATAATAACAATCTTTTAAAAATATTTCAATTACAGTAGTGTCAAATTTAGTGCAATGCATTTATAAAAAAAACTTATAATCATTGTATAATTGGTTTGATGATATGATACGGTTATAAGTTATGATATAATAAACATGTATAATAAAATTTAAAAAAAAATAAAAGTGGAATAATATTTAAGTTGTTTTAATCAAACATTTACTGGTCAATATAAATAATTTTTTAAAATGTTTAAATTAATTAGTTATTAATATATAAATTTTTATCCGCTTTGATTATAAGCACTAAAATATTTTAAAAAATTATTTTTAAAAATTAATTTAATATTATCTTATCTTATGAATCATATAATTTTTTAAAAACAATCATTAAAGAGATAATTAAATTGTGTAAATGTAATATATTGTATTTAATAATTTACTATATAAATAATTATTATAAAGATATAAACCATTAAACACTACAAAAAATTACATAAAATTATAAAATAAAATACGATGTAATTAAAATATTTAATAAATATATTTTTACTATTTTTTAAAAAAAAAATGATAAATGTACTTGAAAAATTATACAGTATGTTTGTTTTTATTGAATAGATAGTTAATGATAATTAAATACTATTTTATAAGATAATTGTTTTGCATTGATAGTCAAGTGGTAACAACAGTAGATTTGTGACAATACATAACATAATTTTGATGTACAGTATATGAGTTTGTTATTTCTATCAAAATATGTTTTAAAAATAATATTTTTGTTGTTATTTCAATTCTATAGCCAATTGATAAACCAATATAAAAACACCCTATAATTGTAAAAAAAATAATTAATAAAAAATAATTTCTTTATTAAATGTTTGATAAAATTACATACATGTGAACCGTTTAAAATAATAAAAACAAATGACAATGCATTAGGAGATGTCGTCAATCTATTCATATAACCTACAAATAAAGTCCAAGTAATGCCTGAATTCAGGACTAATAAGAAAAAACCAAACAATTGTCGCTTATTTATTGGAGATTTCGTTACTTTTTTCACTATATGTATTAGACATGCGATAAATATGAAGTTGAGAACCAAAACAATTATTGCCGGACCTATTCGTATAAATATTATATTTAATAAACATGTATTAGATATTAAATATACTTAAAAAGATGTAAATATTATTGGGATATTTAGGCGATGATATCCAACAGCTATATGTAAAGCAAATATATATAATTATTTATAATTATTCAGTTTTTAAACATTAAAAAATCATACAAATAGTCATTGCCTACAAGTGCTGAACCAAACGGTTCCTCATTATTCCAAACGCTGAACAAACCGATAATAATTATGGGAACCGGCATTCCGTATGCAAACAGAAAAAAACCGTAGGCTTTAAAATTGTTAAATACAAAGTAAACCGTACGAAACAATTGAAATGACTGTAATAACATCCATAAAAAGGCAGACAATAAGGCATATAATAGTAATGCAGATATGAATCTACAAACAATCTGAAAATATTTAATTAATTATTAATTTAGTTATGGATTTTATAGGAGTCCAGTAAATGGACAGATATGTAATGATTATTATTATTACCAAAGACTCATTCCTATCCATACCAATCATTATCAATAAGTCTGCCACCAATAGACATACACAAAGATTAAGAACAATCAGATCTCGTCTCTTAAGCATTTCTATAGTAATTTGATTCAAAGTTTGTGGTTTACTTTTGTTGATATTTGTTTTCAGAAAACGCTTCCGTAGTTTAAGCAACAAATCTTTTCGTATAATAATAACAATGGTTAGGATAAGACATATAACCGAAAGCGAGCAAAACAATAGTGTTAACACATTTTTTGTCAATGAATCGGTCTCTCGGCCACTGGTGTCCATCAGTACCGCAAAGTTTGTCAAATGGTCGCACTTGCAAACTGTTTGCTCACGACTTGATAGACTGATCACATGTCGACAGCCGTCTTGTGACCACTTCTGATGATTAAAATCCCAAAATACACATTTGATATCATCACCCAAATAAAGACGATTATTATGTTTTAAACTATTAATTAAATGCATATTAATATTAATAATTTTTAATCTAAAGTTGTATAGCTTTTATAGCTAATACAAACCTAATACTAACATATTTGCCGTATAATTGATGATTATTTAGTGACGGATTCAAACTAAATGCTAGTATTGGTGTATTGATTTGTTGCTGATTTGTTTGATCGCCAATAAGATTATCTTCAAGACCTTGTATAAGAGCACCGATTTTTGTTTTTTGCTGACATACCTGATCTTTGGTTAACGGGTCTGGTTGTACAATACTTTCAGGTATTTCAATATGTGATGAGTTATATTCAAAAATTATATTTTCACTTATATTGTAATATTGTTTTTCATAAAGATTTTTGCTAATAAACTCTATAGTATTTATTGTATCATTTAAATAGCAATTAGTTGAGAAAGCGGTAGTTTGTATGAATTTTAATAGTTGAGAGGCGGCAAGTAATCTCTGACTATCGGTGCCGTTCATCCATCCCTTTCTCTGATTTATTAATTGACTAAATGTTTGAATAAATTCTTTAGTAATCTTCATATATATATTTGAATCGTTCATTGGTTTAAATGTTTGCAAAAAATCGTTTAATTTAGCAATAATTTTGATCTCTTTATCGATGCTTTCCATATATTTTAATGATTTATTGTCAACAGTTTTATTTACTAATATATCCAAAGTGTCGACGACATCGTTAATAGTCTCAATTTTATCGACTAAAAGACTATCCAACCAACAGTTTTCAAGATCGGGTCCTCGGCTGTCAAACCTACCATTTTTCATACATTTCCATCGGATTAGACCCACTCCTTGTGGACACTTTACCACTGAATAATTGCCGGGAGGCGATGGCGGCCAATAATCAATGCCATATTGACCATCATATGAGCCGTCAACGTTGCACCAGTTTATTGCTTTATTTTATGTAAAATACATTTTTTAATTTAATCATAGATAATATGTATATTGAAATTGAGTGTAAAAAACATACGTGAAATTGACTGTAAATGCCAAATGTCAGTACCATTTTGACAATTAGCAGTTAATCTTTTATCATAAATATTACGATTTTTTAATAGCCAATCGTATTTAAATATCATTGAATCATTACAGTCTAAATTATTTCCAGTCATATATAAATTATTTTTGTTGTTTATATCGAGAAAACTTTTAAATATTTTCTCATTAATAAAATTGAAATTATTATTTTCTAGAAAAAACAATATAAATAAAAACATTTCATAATAATAATAATATATTAAAATATCAAATATAGATTTGTAAATGTAAACCTCCATATAAATAATAGAATTAAAATTTTTTATTTATTGTGAATGAAATAAATATTAAGATTTTCAAAAGTGATGTCATAAATGTCATAAATTTTAATTAAAAACTCCATATTTAGGAAATGTTTTTCATTAAAATTCAATTTTTTTAGATTATCTTATTCTTTCAAAAAATTATTATATTTATGATAATTCATTGAGTGATAATATTAATTATATGATAAACAAATATATGATATATATATATATATATATAATTGACTTAACAATACCTAAATGAAGTTCAATTTGTTTGTTTTTTGTATCAAATGCATTAATTTCAATATTGTTATCGGTTAGCATAGAATCGGACAAATCAATTGTAATTAAATCTCGCTGAGCATTATCCAATCTAAATGCACCTGATGATATTTTTAAAATTTGTTTTACTTGCCCCATATCTATAGTGAGAATATTTGGCAATTGAATAAATGCATCTGGTTCAATTTGTAATATAACAAAATTGCCGACAAACTTAAGTGTATGAACTTTTGGATAATTCAATACATTGCTGGGTATTATATGTTTTATTTGTGGATCCAAACTGATAGTTAGTAACATTAAGTTATTTAGTTTAGTAAATGCATTATAAAAATTATAGGTAGAGTTGCCATTTCGTAGTCTAGTTTGTTGATTCATTTTGAATGAACTAATTGTAAAATCACTATCAAATGCGTTAGTATGTATGAGTTGCAAATTATTTACATTGAATTCAAGTATATCTTTAAATGTTAATTTGCCGAAAACATTTTCAGGTAGTATACCATTGACTACCGGTGCAAACCAATTTAATCTATCAAATAATACTATATGATTATCACTTAATACTTTAAATATGGTTTTTATATTGAGAGCATTTTCTAATGAATTGCATCCAAAATTTTTATTATGATGATGTACTGTAACTGGACAGGTACATTCAATAACACTGGGAATTAAATAGCATGGTTCGTTATTTAAACTTTTATTATTATTATTATAATTATCATTATAAAAATTATTGTAGTTATTATATTTGTAACTGTGTATATTTTTTGTCAACAAATACATTAAAAATATATTTAACATGAATATAAAATTATTATTAATCATTTTGTCATTTTATAGTTTAATATGTTATTAAACAGCAAATAATATAATTAAACTAAATATTACTTAATCAGAAATATTATTAGCAAATAATATTTATTATTTGAGTAAAAAAATAATTATTAATATTTAAATATTTATGAAAACTAATAAAATATTTTATTTCTAAAATTATTCAAATGGTTTAATATAACATTAATCATCTAATATAAAAATATTTATCATTAAATAAGACATTTTTGTAAATATTTCTTATTTTTGAAATTACATTTTTTCGTAGTTAATTTGATATAAATATAATGAAAATATTTTATTTGAGAATAATATCAGGATATGCATTATAACTTATATAAATATAAATATATACTTAAATTTACTAAAATTATTTGTTACAAAATAATTATATATTTCATATTAAATGTTATATATAATTTGTAATGAAATAATCTATATGTTTTAAAACATTAATATAATAGAAATTGATTATTATATCATATATTATCATTTTATGCTATTTATTTTAAACTATTTATGTTTTTTATTGATATATATATATTCTTAATCTTATTATATATAAGTATATATTTAACATCAGAACTTTTCCTATAAAAATAATATACATTAATAGTTCAACATTTAWATATATATATATATACAAAATTTTATTTCATTTTTTATGAATTAATTAATATATTTTTTTAATTGTATTATTTTAATATAGAGAAATGCCGTTTTAATTTTTCATAGTATTATAAATATGACGTTTTTTATATAATAAAATTATAAGCAAATAATACAAATTTAAATTAATTATAAAAAATAAGTAAAAATATTAATTGAATATGATATCATAAATACTAAACAATAAGTATAACATAAAAATAAATATTCTTTATAAAACAGTAATTATTAAGTTTTAAATATATGATAAAATTATTAACAATTTCATTATAATTATTATATTGTATTTACTGAAGTTGTGGCACAATTATAATAAAATTTAATAAATAAAAGCAATATTTAAACAATTGCAGCAAATTGTTATAATAATGTAAACATAATCAGTCAATAAATAGTGCAATAAAATTTACTTTTCAATATAAATAATATTTGTTATTGATAAAGTAATGTAAATTATTTGTACTTTAAAGATAATATGTACTATTATAAACCTTTTACATGTACAATATTACAATAAAATATTAGTCAATAATAGTGATAATAACTAGTATTAAACTATTGTGATAAAAATAGGCACATTAGTTACGTTAATTACAGGCTTTATCTTAATATCAGACCCGCATTAACCCCCCCTAACTTGTAATTTATTTTGAATATCTAATAAACCATATTTTACATATAAAAATGACCAATGACAAATTAATAACAAATATACTGTATAATTTTGTGATTGATTATTTTATATTTAATTGTAAGTTTAACCAAATAATTGCAACCCAAAAGAGATCGGGTGTAATTATCTAGTCAATTATACAAGTAAATAATAAAAATGACCAATTTGAAATATATTAATAATAAAATTGTCTATAACTTTGTCATTTTAATCTATAAAATATCGTTTAATATATATTTAAAATAAATCAATAGTCGGAGATCTGATGCGGGTCTGATTTTAAGATATTGCCTTAATTTTATTTTTAAAACATCATTTGCTATTATTTAAATTATTTAATTTAATAATAATTTTTTAAATTTATATTTAATATTAGATGTTAGATGTTAAACTAATAATCTTAAAAATTAGTTATGCAATAAACTTAATTATTCAGTACACTTTCAGAGTTTATAAAACTAAATCACAAGTTATTTTTCATTATCACAATTACCTCCCAGGAGTTGATTTTCTAATTGCTATTTAAAAAAAAATGTTAAAACTAATAAGCAATGTGACTCTCTTATCAAAATAAATTTTTTGAAATGATATCAATTTGAACAACATTTTTTTGTATATAAGTTAGGCACACATCAAACAATAATTAAATAGCAATTTTTACAATTCATTTAAATTAATTAAGTAAATCATGAAATTGTTGATATTGGCCGCTATCCTAGTGGTTGCAGTTACTGCTATACCACTGACTAACAATGAGATTGAACGGGAATGGCAATCATTTAAGGTATGTCAACAAATACAATAAATATTAAAAAAATAATTTTAACTTATATATATATATATATGTAAAAAATATTTTTTTTATTTCATAAAAATAGGATCAATTTCGTAGCAATAAAGCACTTTATGTTAACGAAGCCGAGGAAACCTATCGACGATCAGTATTTAAGGCCAATTATCAACAAATAGTGAAACACAATGAAGAGGCAGACAATGGTCAGCACACATACTGGTTGGGTGTCAATCAGTTCTCAGATTTGACTGACAAAGAGTTTGAACAAATGATGTTAAGCCCAATGACACCATTGGATAGATCTAACATAAAGATCCAAGAAATTAAATCGGATAACGTATTGGCTTCAACACTAGATTATCGAACAAAAGGAATGGTAGCCAGAGTTAAAAACCAGGGACAGGTATGTCATCAAAAACAAATATTTAATAATAATACAAATTATATAATTTATAATTAAAAATTTAATAGTGTGGCAGTTGTTGGGCATTTGCAGCAGTGGCCGCAACTGAGGGACAATACGCCAAAAAATACGATCGAATACAAGAATTATCTGAACAAAATCTGGTCGATTGTACGAAAGGTACGAGTTGTACGACAGGAGGCAACTATGCCATGGCTTACCAGCAAGTGATCAATGAGGGCGGCTTAGAGACTGAAGAGGACTATCCGTACACAAGTGGAAGCGGTACTTCCGGGTCGTGTAAATTCACTAAATCTAAGTCTGCCGTAACCATTGAGAATGCTTATGGCACACAACCGCACGACGCCGACCAACTACAACAGGCCCTCTCAGATATCGGACCCTTGGCTGTCGTGATGAACGCTTCGGGACCCAACTTCAGAGGTTATAGTAGAGGTGTATACAGCAATTCGGGTTGCCTGAGCGGTGACACACAAATTAACCATGGTGTTACTGTTGTCGGTTATGGTACTGAAGATGGTATGGACTATTGGTTGGTGAAAAACTCATGGGCTACCAGTTGGGGTGACCAGGGATACTTTAAAATTCAAAGAGGTGTCAACCGATGCGGTATTGAAATCCAAGGTGTTTGGCCAACTGGTGTCACCAAAGCTTAAATTTATGCATTTATATGAAACATCATATTATATCATATAGTAAATTGTATTATTTGTATATTAATTTAAAATAAATAATAACTTAAAGTAACATTTAATCACAAATTTTTTTTATGATTGCATCGAAATAATGTACAGTATATACAATAGATATCAAATACGACAGTAAGCGATATAATCAGTATAAGTAAGTTAAATCAACAGTGCTATGGATTTCAGTTTTAAGCAATAAACTTAAGACCAAATTTCGGGAAATTTACAAATTATGAAAGTTTCCTAATAAAATCCTTCAATTTTACGGGAATATATGAAATATATTTTATTTTTCCTCCATTCATCGAGAAAAAAGAAAATATAATTTATTATTACAATATAAGTGCACAAAGACTTTGGATAAAATTTTTGTTGAAATATTTAAAAATAAATTTACTATAATAATATTACCTATCAATACAAATCAAAAATACAGTTTATTAAAAACATTTGTTTTTAAAGATTATAATAAAAGGTGTTGTTTGCTGGGAATTTCCATAGAGTAGAAAAATAGTGAAAATTTGGATAATAAAACTATGGGAGGGAATTAGATCAAAACTCATATAAACATTTATTATATAACCGTATTATACAACTATTGGTGTTTTGAAACTATGAAAAGTTTTTTACTAATGTTAAAATATTATTAATTATAAGTAGTATGGCCTCCAAAAACAGTAGTTAAGCTTAAGACAAAAGCAGTTAGTTTTTAGCTTTCATATATAGTTGTCAATCCAGGAGCCAATAAACAGAGAAGCAATTACAGAGGGAAGTGTCATCAATACTATATAACTGAATAAACCGTATAGTTTGTGGTGTCAAACAATAATGACTGTTCAATTGATATTTATAAATACATATTTTATCCTGGATCATTTGATCGGTGGACACTTTTTTCAATTGCAATACAAACATAAAGGCAAACATTTAATATAAAACAATAAATTAATTTACAGTATTGTTTAGTATTAATTCTATACGATTTAAGATAAAAAAAATTAATTAAACTACAATTATAATAAAATAATATATTATTCGGGTTTTATTTTTTTAATTATGATAAAATTAAGTGAAATAATAATTAAAATTAAATTTAGTTAGTTTACTATATTTTCTAACATTCAGTATAATTACAATTTAATAAATAAAAGAAATATTTTAACTATTACATCAAATTAATGTAATCATAATCAACTATACAGTACATGTGTTAATAAAATGTGCAATAAAAGTTGTTTTTCTAATATCAAATATATTTGTTATTGATAATTGTAATGTATTAGATTATTAAATAAACTTTAAAGATAATATGTATTTTTATAAATCTTTACATATATAGGATTACAATAAAACATTAGTTAATAATAGAGTGATAATACCTACTATTAAATTATTATGATAAGAATTGGCAGATTATTTAATGTTAACTATAATTTTTTAAAAACATTATTTGCTATTATTTAACTAAATTAATTTTTTTATTTAATACTAATTTTTTATATATTAAATGTTAAAATAATAATTTTAATATTAATTATACAATTAACTTAATTATTCAGTGCATTAGAGTTTAAAAGTCTAAATTATATGTTTTTTTTCATTATCACAATTACCTCCCAGGAGTTGATTTTTTAATTCCTATTAAATAAAATGTCAAAATCAATAAGCAATTTAAGACTCTTATCAAAATAGATGTCATAAAATGTTATTATCAATTTGAATAAAATTTTTTGTATATAAGTTAGGCAAACAATAATTCAATAATAATTTTTAATAATTCAATTCAATTAATTAAGTAAATCATGAAATTGTTGATATTGGCCGCTATCCTAGTGGTTGCAGTTACTGCTGTACCACTGACTAACAATGAGATTGAACGGGAATGGCAATCATTTAAGGTATGTCAACAAATAATATGAATAGTATTGTATGAAAAATAGTAACTTGAATAAAAAGTTTTATATATTTAATAATTATTTGTTTTTGTTTTCATAAAAATAGGAACAATTTCGTAGCAATAAAGCACTTTATGTTAACGAAGCCGAGGAAACCTATCGACGATCTGTGTTTGAGACCAAATATAAACAAATAGTGAAACACAATGAAGAGGCAGACAATGGTCAGCACACATACTGGTTGGGTGTCAATCAGTTCTCAGATTTGACTGATAAAGAGTTTGAACAAATGATGTTAAGCCCAATGACACCATTGGATAGATCTAACATAAAGATCCAAGAATTTAAATCTAATAACATATTGGATTCAACATTAGATTACAGAACAAAAGGAATGGTAGCCAGAGTTAAAAACCAGGGACAGGTATGTCATCAAAAACAAATATTTAATAATAATACAAATAATACAATTTATAATTAAAAATTTAATAGTGTGGCAGTTGTTGGGCATTTGCAGCAGTGGCCGCAACTGAGGGACAGTACGCAAAAAAGTATAGTTATTTACAAGAATTTTCTGAACAAAATCTTGTCGATTGTACGAAAGGTACGAGTTGTACGACAGGAGGCAACTATGCCATGGCTTACCAGCAAGTGATCAAAGAGGGCGGCTTAGAGACTGAAGAGGACTATCCGTACACAAGTGGAAGCGGTGAGTCCGGGTCGTGTAAGTTCACCAAATCTAAGTCTGCCGTTACCATTGAGAATGCTTATGGCACACAACCGCACGATGCCGTCCAACTAAAACAGGCCCTCTCAGAGATCGGACCGTTGGCTGTCGTGATGAACGCTTCAGGTCCCGGCTTCAGAGATATAAAAAGCGGTGTATACAGCAATTCGGGTTGTTTAAGCGGTGACAGACAAATTAACCATGGTGTTACGGTTGTCGGTTATGGTACTGAAAATGATATGGACTATTGGATTATAAAAAACTCATGGGCTACCACTTGGGGTGACCAGGGATACTTTAAAATTCAAAGAGGTGTTAACCGATGCGGTATTGAAATCCAAGGTGTTTGGCCAACCGGTGTCAATAAAGCTTTATAATAAAGCATTTATATGTAATATACTTATAAATTATATCATATAGAAAATTGAATTATTTTTAGATTAATTTAAAATAAATATTATTTCAACAATAAAACATTATTATTTGTAGTTTTAAAAATTTCACCAAAATAATGTTTATGCTTATACAGTAATTTTTGTTTATTAAATACTGTTACCACAGTATATATAATGTTTATATAATAACGTGTATATACTGTAATTTATTAATCAACATTTATAATCAACATTGGATTTCCTATGGATTTCAGTTTTAAGCAATCGTTTCAGAGATAATCTTAAACAGCGTCGGTGGCGATGCTATTAATTATAATTATCTGATCAACAATACGTTGAATTAAAAAGTGACCAAGGGAAATGTTGTAGATAAATTTAAAATAAATAAAATTGTAATTGATTACTTTTTAATTAATTGTATTATATGCTAAATAATTTACAGTCGACTGTTTAAAAAATTTATAAATGATAGCCGACTGCATATCTGGCAAATCATACAATTAATTAAAAAATGACCAATTACAATTTTATTTATTTTAAAATTATCTACAACATTGCCCTTGGTCACTTTTTAATTGAATGTATTGTTGACCAGATAATTGTAATCAATAGCATAGCCGCCGCAACTGTTTAAGACTTTCTGATCGTTTCACACTTAAGGCATATAAAGTAAATATTTGTTAATAATATGAGTAATTGTTGTTATTTTAAAACTATGAAAAGTTTTTTGTCTAATGCTAAAAAAACTATTAAATATAAAATTAATAGTTAAGACAATAATTACTGTTAGCTATATTAGTTGGTTAATTTTTTTTGTTGAATTAAACTAAAATATAATCAATAGTATTTCAAAATTCAAAGACAATTATTATATTTTTCCAGTTATTTTGTTTGAAGCTATTTTGTGCAACAAATTTTATTTTGTAGTATAAAATATATATTTTATAAAAAATCATACAGCTATATTATTACAATAAAATTTTAATATGAATTAGTTGTTATTAAAAAAATAAAAAATAAATATTATAATCAATAATACACTAATTAATATATACAGTATCAGGGTTAAGTAAGGGGGGGGGGGGGGGTATAAAAATAAGGCCAAAATACCCCCCCTAAGATCGAGAAATTGGGATTTTACCCCCCCAGACTTTTTGACCAAATTGAAAAAATTGTCGCTTAAAAACGAGGAGAAATGACCCCCCCCCCCCTAAAATTTCGGCGCCGAAGGCGCCGAAAATTTTTTTGAAATTTATAAAAATTTTAATTTTAGTTGATACTATTTTAGTAAGTGTTTTTATGTTTTTAATATTTATAAAAATCTAATTATTGATTAAAAATAGTTAAAATAACGTTAAAAGTCATCAAAAAATAACATTATTTTAATTAAAATAAACTAAAAAATTAAAAATTACCTATTTGTTGAAAAGAGTAATCATATTACAATTTAAATATAAGTTTAAGAAGTTAATAAAACAATAAATACTTATGTTTTTATTAATAATTTTTAAATTTTAAATAAAAAATTTAAAAATATTTTCAATTTTGTACTTAATATAATTAAACTTTAACGAAATTTGAGTTAAATAAGTAGTATTCAGTCAGTATTTGTATAAAAATAAAAATATATAACAAACTATAAACATTAAGTATTGTTTAAAAAATTAATTATGTTAAAAGTTAAAAATTATTAAAATACTAAAAATAACTCATAGTGTATCATTAATGCTTTTATCAACTATTTTTAAATCTTAAATACATTATTTTATTTTTTTTTGTTAAAATTTAAGTTTTTATTAATTTTAAAAAATTTTTTTAAAAAATATTTATTTTTTGTTAAAATTTAAATTTTTGTTAATTTTTAAGTTTTTTAAGTTTTTTTTTATATTTTTGGAAATTTTACCTATTTTCCCGGGAATTTATACGGGAACTTGTGGGAATTTTATTGAATTTACATGGGTATATTCGGGAACTTAAGGAATTTTTAGGTAATGTTAATCATATCTAATTTATTAAAATTATTAATTACCGAATTTTCTCTAGACCCCCCCCCCCCTTGATTTTGGATTTTTGAAAAAATTGCCGTTTAAAAATGCAATAAAAATCTTACCCCACCCAATACCCCCCCCAAGATTTTTTGAGAATTTTGTAAATTTTACCCCGGTCTACCCCCCTAAAATCCAAAACCTTGCTTAACCCTGATACAGTATATATCTAACGTGTTATAGTTCTACATATGTTCAGTGATTCACTATACAGTATATAATAATAATTATTAAAACTAATAATATTAATGATTATTATTATTATTATTATTATTATTATTATTACAATTGTTTATTCAATTTGATTTGTTTGCTTACTATTTGTACGCTTAAGCAATTCATGTGCAATAATATTACCATTTTTGTCGGCCATTACCTTATTATTAGTACAATCATCTGGTAATGCAGTAAAATAATGTATCCAAACTACTGTCCCAAGCGGTATGATAAGCAACAGTGCAACTAAAATTAGCGACAGTCCCGGTATAGTATCCATAGTTGAGTTGAATATACTGGTGAACACACCGGCCGCTACTAACGGCGCCAATGCCTCAAAACACGACAAACAGTTGAATACTTTTCCCAATTCTTCTGGTTTTACAATTTTGGAGAAATGCGAGCGAATACCTATWGAWGCAACTGATCCCAAACATCCTGGTATTAGAGATAAGTAGAATCCATTTGGAGATAATACTAGGCCTCGGGTCAGGTTCATCAATAAATATGAGGTCAGTCCTATCATCGATAGTGTGGTGTCTTTGAGTTTAAATATCTATTATTTAGAAAATTTTTAATTAAAAATCATTTTATTAATTTTAAATAAAAAGACTTACTTTTAGGAGTATAGGCGCTATAAGGAAAGTGGCTAAACATAAGACAAGTGTAGCGATAGCCGATGCATTGCTATAGGTTTGCGAATCCCATGAATATACTTTTTGGGCGAATTGATACATAAACATAACTGGCCCCAAATGAGACAATAGGTAGAAGCACATCGAGAGAAACAGTAGCCATATTTGGATTCGCACGTGATTTTCGCGAGTCTTAAAGCATGTGTGAAACATTTCACGTACGTTATTGAAGTTGAATAATAGTTTCAATGGGTGCACGTGTTTGTGTTGATCGAAACTTTTCATTTTGTTTTGCACTCTAAGCTCAGGTGTGTCCATAAGGTTATCATTATTGACAGCATTTATACCAAATTTATATTCCCAATCTCTGATATCTTTTTTCTCGTCGATCATATAAATAGTCCACAATAATTGAAAACAAGAGGTAATGCCTACAATGGCAAACACACCGCTATAATTTTGTAACTGTCCTCTTGTGAACAGCGAGTCAGTGTTCAATACGGCACCGGCAATAAAAGAGCCCAATGGTTGTGCTATTAATATAAATAGATTTATGATTATATGATATATTAAACATGTATTTAAATTACTAACCGATTCCCAGTGCAATCTCAGCAAATATCATACGAAGTGCTCTCATATGGGACGGTGTGGTCGTTGCTATGTATGACCAAACAGAGCAGACAACTATCAATAGTCCACCTGATATTACATTTGGTAAAACACTTACTAATACTACTAAATAGTCTACAAATAAATAAAATAAATATTTAATTAATAAATTAATTTATAATAATTAATTACAGGTCATTAAAAACAAAATTATATTATTATACATGTTTTAAAATAGTAATCATTAATTATAAGTAGTATGGCCTCCAATATGGTAGATATAGCACAAGACATAAGTAGATATTTTTTAGCTTTTATATAGTTGTCAATCCAGGAGCCGATAAATAGAGAAGCAATCACAGAGGGAAGTGTCATCAATATAACTGAATAAACCGTATAGTTTGTGGTGTCCGACAATATTTTGGATTTCATTTGTAGATAATCCTCGTCCGATGTCATAGTGGACAGTACTGCACAATAATGACTGTCCAATTGATATTTATAAAGACATATTTTATCCTGGACCATTTGATCGGTGGGCACTTTTTTCAAATGCAATACAAACATAAAGGCAAACAAATAGGGTTCAACAGTTAGCAGACATAAAAAGTCGTAAAACTTTTTCAATTTTGCGGTCAAAGTTGTTTTGTTTTGCATTTTTAAATATGAATTAATATTTGTCTAACAAATTAATACATTTAATTTAAATACTTTAGTTTTATAAACAAATTTTTTTACTATTTTTAGATTTATTCTAGATTCTAGATTTTTATAAATATGTTGAAACATTAAAAAAAATCATTAATAGTTTATAATTTAATTATTTAAACATTATAGTTTGAAAATATAATAATAACATTTTGTTATTTATTTATATACCAAATTAAACAAACAATATTTAATAATCCATAAATCGGATATAAATTTATTATGACATATAAAAATAATAAATATGTCATATATTTAGCGCTGAATTACTAAGCGCCAACTTTATTAAGTTTAAATATCATAAATAAATAACTTTAATTTGATAATTAAATTTACTTTGGCTGTTATAARGAAATTATATATAAAAATATTAGCAAAAAATAAATTATTACACATTTTATATCAATTGCTAACATTTAGAATATTTAAAGAAATTAACATAAATTATAATTAATAATTATTTTTAAATATGATTATTGATAATTGTAATTTTATTGTAAAATTATAATTATATGTATACACCAGCGGTAGTATATATAATATTATATATTATATATTTATATTTTACTTAATGAATTTTATTTATGTTTAATTCAAAAATAACCTTGGTAACATTGTATTAGTATTATATGTACTAAAAACTATAATTGAGCATGTCTATTGCAAGCGCTTTAGTACATTAAATATGAACAAGTACATTTCCTCTTAATTTCTTTATGATTATGTTTACATTATTATATAAAACAACTAGATTTTCAGTTTACATATTTTACAATTAGATATATTATATTATTTATTTAATTTATAGTCGTATAATAAAAACTAATGTAACAAATAAAAATAAAATTAACTTAGCAACATTTTTTTTAATTAATTTGTTATTTTAATATACAGTAAAATGTTTATAGTAGATTTTAAGATTACTTAACCGATTATATTTTTTTGCAGTATTTTGTGTATGCTTAGTTTATTTTTATAATTTTCATAATATTATAGAGTGTATATATTCAATGATTTTTTTAAAGAGGTTTATATAAATTTATATATATTTGCTGTTTTTTATTTTTTTAAATTTTATATTTACAAATAAATAATTTATTAATAACTATAAAATACCACAATATTTTATAATTAAATTTAATATATAATAAATTAAGCTCTTATTTATAATAATCTTATAATTATTTAATAGTAACAATATTTACATTAACTTAAGTATAATATAATTATAAATATATACATTATTTACAATTGATTTAATGTATTATCTTTAACCACACAACTATTATCGTTCAAATTACTAACATTTATGCTATTATTTACACTAAATTTATTGTCGTCAACAATAGTGCTATCATTAGATGGATGATCACTACTACCGCTAAGATCAGGTAGTTTTGTGCAAAAATGAATCCAAATCATAGCCGTAAATGGTATGACTAACAGTCCGGCCACAACAATAAGCGCTAAACCGGGATTTGTATTTATGGTAGCATTGAATAGTGTAGTGAAAATGCCGGCCGCAATCAGCGGTGTTATGGCCTCAATGGTGGCCAAACAGCTAAACACTTTACCAATTTCTTGTGGTGTCACAATTTTTGAGAAATGCGATTTAATACCAATACCCCCAACTGAACCCAGACAGCCGGGTAGTATTGAATAGTAAAAACCATTGGATGTCAAAACTACACCACGTATTAAGTTTTGAGCAAAATATGAAAGCAATCCAATCAATGATAAAGTTGTGTCTTTTAGTTTGAAAACCTAATATACAGTATAATAATAATAATATACTTATTTATACAAATAATATTAATATACAGTTATTTCTCATATTATAGGTGTATGATATTTTGTGATATACAGTATATCATATTATAAATATAAAATAATATATGTTATTAATTACCCTAATAAGCACCGGTGCAATGATTATAGTGGCCAATGCTATAGTAAAGCTAGATATTGCCGACCCATTGCTATACATTTGTGAGTTCCAAGAGTATACTTTTTGTGTGAATTGAAACAAAAATATAATGGGACCGACATGTGATAGCATATAACACGACACCGATAGAAACAATAGCCATATCTGTATTCGTACTAAATTAGCCCTGGGCTTAGCACAGGTCGACCACATTTCTTTAACGTTTTTTATGTTAACCAATAATTTAATGGGATGTATGTGTCGGTAATCGTCATATCGTTTTATCTTATTTTCAACGCGGGTCTCAAACTCTACATCATTATCATCACATGAATTTCTGAATCTCTGTTCCCATAGACGGATATCCCGTTTTTCATTAACCATAAATATGGTCCAACACAATGCCAATACATAGGTTACACCAGCAATGGCATAGACACCCGAGTAATTATGTAACTGTCCGTTTGAGAACATGGGTGTCGTATTTAACACTATACCGCCTAAATAGGTGCCCAATGGAGTACCTGAATTAAAGTTTACATTTTAATTATTATTATTATTTCTTAAAAAAAATATATTTGAATAAAAATTATATTAAAAACCTAAGGCCATGGCTATCTCTGCAAATGTCATCCTTATTGCTCTCATGTGTGGCGGTGTAGTCGATGCTATGTATGACCAGATGGCACACAATATGGCCAATAGACTACCGGAGAAGACATTGGGAACCATACTCAACAATATATAGTAGTAGGCTATGTAACAAAATAAAGTTAATCAATATTTAATGTTATTTTAAAAAAATAAAAAAATTACATATTTCAAAACAGTAGTCATTGATGATCAATAGTGAACACTCGCATATGGCGGCCAATGCACCGCCTATTAGTAAAACTTTTTTGGCATTTAAATACTTGTCAGTCCACGAACCGATGAACAGGGATGCAATCACCGATGGTATGGTCAGTATGACTACCGAATACAGTGTAAAACTAGTGCCTTCGCTTAATATTTCTGATTTTTTATGTAAATAGTCATCTTTATCGGTCATTGTAGGCAACGCTGAACAATAGTTGGCCGGTAGGTTATAGACAAACCTGCATATCTTGTCCTGTGCCAGTTGTGTGGTGGGCACCCCTTTCATAGTGTACACAAACATAAAGGCCAGCAGATAGGGCTCGACCGTCAACAGTGATACAAAATCCCAAAACCGTTTCAATTTGTATGAAATACCACTTGATTGTGATTTAGTAATCGTTATTGTTGGTGTCATTGTTGATGTGGATGCACTGGTACCTGGAGTTGGACAGGTAGTGTTTGGGAATGTTGAATATGTTTTAACTTCTCGATTATTTATACGACTCATGAATAATTTTTTATAATTTCTTTGTTGTTTTGATTAATATTATTATTAAAAAAATTCATATAAAGTTATCTCTAATAAATAGGTATAACTTTATATGAATTTAATCGCTTAATATTACAATTAAATTTTATATAGGATTACGAGTCCATTATACTTGAATTTTTTTTAGTAATCAATTAATAATATTAAATGTAATAATTATTATAGTATTTTTTAGAAAAACAACACTGATAATCTTTAAATGTCAGTCTATAATATTTCGTAATTTTATAACTATACTAACAATATAACAATTAATAGTTTTTCTGTAGCATTTTTTTTAGACAAAACATGTTTATCTTTATACAGTATGATAAATAATACAGTATATACAGTAAATTTTATATATGTGTGTGTATATAACTGCACGTGAAAAGTATATATTATAATAAATAATATAACCATATGAGTCATTGTATTGCACAGGTATGTTAGTAAGTCATATAATAAAATATATATAATAATAATAAATATCAATTTGTACTCATGTAAACAAATTGCGATATTATTGACTAACATTTATTGTTGATAATATTCTGTGCAATTTATCAATTTCTCTTAAATATTATAATAACTTTATTTTTATAGCACACTTAACAATGATCAATCTATATGTAAAAGTTATATTTATAAATAATAAGTTATATAGAAACAGATATAAAGTAATAAAATATATTATAATCAGATTTTGTTACGAAATAATTAATATAAATTAATAGAATTTTAATATAACAATAAATAATTATTATATAATTATTGAATTTATTAGATATAATTTATTTATTAAACAAATATGATCTTTTTTATACATATAACATATACAAAAATTTGTTTATTGACAAATTAATATTTAACAAATACTGTAGTCTAATAATAAACTAAAATAAATAATATTATTTTGTTATAATACATGAATCTATTTCAGTAAATATAATAATAAAAATGTGTTTTATAAAAGATATCAAATTATTGATTATAAAAATGAAATAATAAATTATAAAGTTTATACTAATTGTACTAAAGTGTACTGTACTAAGCAGTACATAACAAGTATAAGGGGTAGTTCACATATTACGTTCGCAGTTGAGAGGAGGTGGTTGGAAAAAAAGAACTTTTGCGAACGAGTGGAGGGAGGGGGTCCAGATTTCTTAAAAAGTTCGTACGTAATATGTGAATCGCCCCTAATGTACACTTGAACCTAATAACCTATTAATTAATTATTGCTAAATATAGTTAACATCACTTTATTATAAATTCTTTAAAATTCTTAACATTTTTTTTATCTGTAAATATATGTAGTATTAGTTAAAATTTATAAAATTTTCTTAGCGTTTATAGATTAATCTGATTTACAGTTTGTATAACACTTGATAAATGAAATAGTATTTTAATTATTAAAACATTTATTTAAACACTAAACAAATAATAAAATTATGTTAAAGACTAAAATTAATATTAAAATTTTATATACTTATATGTAAATACTGTAACATTAGATAATATTAGAAATATTAATAAATATAATACTGGTAATATGCAATTATTTTTTAATTTATTTACTGAAAATGATAAACAGTTAATATTTTTATTAATGCACAAACATAATGCAATAATAAAAATCATATTTAAATAATATTAAGTTTTTATAAACATTTAAATAATCAATTATATCAATCAATCAATCAATATGTATAAAACAAATTCTAGACTATCACTAATAACATTAATTTTATAAATATATAAATATTATTCTCAGATTATTTAAATTAATTTTATATATAACTGTAGTAAAATATAATTTGATTAAATGATAATTAATAAGTTTAATATAATGTAAAAGGTTTGTCTTGAATTGCATTGGAATACTTAAAATAAATTTATTTTGTTTAAACAAATGACAATAATAACTAAAATACTGTTACAAATTTTAGTATATTTTTATTGTTATAAATGTAAATCATAAACCATAATTGCATTTATTTATAAAAATTTTGTATTAAAAATTAATATTAATTAATTATATGTGCTATTGTAATAGTATATACTGTACTATATACTATTAATATTCTTATAACATTAAAAAACAATTCAATAACATTAAAATTAATTTTTAAAAATTATTTTTAAATATATTTATTATAAATGTAACTCATTAGTATAATATACAGTATCATAAAATAATGAGTTACATTTATAATAAATATATTTAAAATAATTATGATACTGTATATTATTTTTATATAATATAATAGTTTAATATATTATATACATTTACTTTATATATATTTTTATAACACATCATATGATTCATAAATACTTTATATATACTGTACATATAAATACATGTAAATCGTTAAACACTAATAACAGGTATTTAGTACTGTATTACACAATGTGTTTGCAATAATTATTTTCACTCTATTTATTAGTATAGCGCAACAGTCATCCGATTTAAACATTCAACCAATAGGATGAAAGCAAATTTATATCGTAATGTAAAACATTGTATTTATATTACTAAACATACGAAATAATTTCGATTTTATTATATCAAGTAATAATGATGACTCAAATAGTTGCCTTCTGATTGGTTGGATCTTTCATCAACAAATATTAGGTTAATACTAGTATTCAAACATTTGAAAAGTATATAAAGTGTTAAATATGTTTAAAATAAATATCAAATTAAGTTATTTATTTGTTAAGAAAAAGTTGTATTATTTTTCAAAACTTTTTTTTGTTTGGTTAATAATTTATTGAACAAATATGTCCACAAAATCAGATCAAAAGACCGATTCCGATCGCATTGAAGATTACATGAGTGGAAACACTGAAAACAAAGTGTACGACACCAGAGATAATGATAACAACAACAATAACAACAACAACAATAACAACAACAACAATAACAACAACAACAACAAYAACAACAACAATAACAACAACAATAACAACAGCAACAGTGGCAAGAAATCCAATGATGACAACGGATGGATTCATCAGAAAAGTGGCGATAGATATAACCCAGGATTAGATAATTTTGATTCAGATTTTTCGTTTAGATAGTTATGAGAAAAGAAAGAGAGGAAATGTGAAAATATTTAAGCAGAAAAATGTTCATAAATTTATATAAAAAAAAACTTATTTAAAAGTATTATTTAATTATTCAAAAGTATTTTAAAAAGTATTTATTATTATTTATTTTTTAGAAATTCTATGATTTGATAAATTTCTAAATGTTATTAATATTACACATTATATTTTTAAAATTAATTATGAACAATAATTAAATTATTTAATTATATATTTTTTAAAACTAATTTATAATAATAACTTTAATTAAATTGTTTATTATTAAAAATGTTTGTATTAAACTATTACAGTAAATACATATTAATTAATAAAATTTCATTTTAATGATATCACAATTTCATTTTTTAATAATAATAATTTAATAATTGTCATTTAGTAAAGTCATTATAAAAAAACAAATTATATAGTTATTACAGTATATATTAAATATATAAATTATATAATATAATAATAAAATGTTTTATTACAATATTTAAAAATGTTATATATTTTCTGTATATATTATAAATTAGAAAAATAAATCATTTATTATTTATGTATATATCAGACATAAAATCTTAAAATACATAAAAAATTCTTTATAAATGTTAATTTCAAAACAATAAATGTGTAATACTGTAATCATTATTTAATTATAATGAAACTTTTACGATTCTAACATTTAACAATTAGAAATTAAATATTTCATGTAAATATAACAGCAATTATTTCAGATATTTATCATTAATTACTGAAATAATACAATTGACGTATATATCCGGTAATAATATAACTAAAATTGTAGCACTTTTATTGGTTAAATGTTTGCATCAATTAAAAATACAATTAGATTTAAGTTAATAGTTAGTGCTATAAAATTAAGGTATAAAACAGCGAAAACTTATTATTTCAATATAACAATTGATTCGTACAGTTAGTTTATTACTGTAAATCATTATTTAAAAAAATTATAATAATTAACTAAACTAATTGTGATTTTTTTAAAAAAAATGCCAAAACCTAAAGCGTCAGAGTCTAGTCGTGTTGAAGATCTCAAAGATGGTAAACGAAATACAGAAGAATACAAAAGTGATGGCAAAAATTCTGATAATAAAAATGGCAAAAATGATGGGAACCGTTGGATCAATCAAGACAAGTATGACAAAAATAATCCCGGAATGAGTAATTGGGGCTCAGATTTCAACCAAAATAGATGAACAGTTTCATTAACTGCGATATCTTGTATGGTATGTGTCAAACACATATAAATCAAAAATATTTTATCATTTTCAAACTATATGTACTATTTTTAAAAAATAGTATTAAATAATAATCTGTATTAATTTCAATATTATCAATTAATTTTTACAATAATTATAACAGTATTTTTTCTAAAAAATAAGAATTATATTTAATATTTTGTTAAAAAGTTTTAAAAATTTTTAAAAATTTATTTATATATATACTTAATTATACTTAAGATAAGATACAGTATATATCATACTATATAATTACAAAATTATTTATAATGTACACTTTAATGTAAAACTAACTGTTATTTTATACAAAATTTTATATAAAAAAATAAATTAATTAAAAAATAACTAATAAAATTTACAAATTGCTAATTGATTTTAGTTCATTTTGTTGATATGGGTTACGATTATTGTAGAAATTAATCCAAATTAATATAACAAACGGTATAATAAGCAGAATGGCCACTAAAATAAGAGACAGACCGGGTTGACTGTCCATTGTTGCGTTAAATATATTGATAAAAATGCCTGCCGTTATCAGCGGTGTTATCGACTCGAGACTACCCAAACAGTTAAACAACTTTCCCAACTCTTCGGGTCCAATAATTTTTGAAAAATATGATCGCATGCCTATAGAGGCCACACCACCTAAACATCCGGGTATTAGAGCATAATAATAGCCTTTTGGGTATAAAACTGTTCCCCAAATAATGTTTTGCAAAAAATATGATACCAGTCCTACTAATGATAGTGTAATATCACTAATTTTCAATATCTATGATTGCATTAAAATAAAATAATTTTCATAAATAATTACATCTCAAATATTAATAGTATAACTTAATATTAATGATACATACTTTTAAAAGTAATGGTGCAATAATAAATGTAGCCAAAGCTCCTGTACCGCTAGTGATGGCCGACCACGTACTGTATGTCTGTGAGTCCCAACCGTAGACTTTTTGTGTAAACTGAAACATGAAAATAATGGGTCCGACGTGTGCAATGATAAAACAAGCAAACGATAAAAATAATAGCCATATCTGTAGTCTCAAATGGTTATGCCTTTTTCGACTACAGGTGCGCCACATTTCTTTGGCATTTTTCAAATCAAACAACAATTTTATCGGTTTTATGTGTTTGTATTCATCAAATGTTTTCAATTTGCTGTTTACTATATCATCCGTATTGTTATCGCTTGTTATGGACTCAGTTATATGTGATGGAAATTTTTGTTCCCATTTATTGATATCCCTTTTCTCGTTGACAAATATAACTGTCCAAATAAGTATTGCCAAATACATAACACCAGCAATAGTAAAAACACCCGTATAGTTATGTAATTGTCCAGTTTTAAATATAGGTTTCATGTTCAATACAAGACCACCTATGTATGTGCCTAACGGTTGACCTAAAATATAGATAATAACAAAATATTTTTAAAAATTAAATATAATTATTAGATTATTTAAAAAATCATTAATATTATATATTTATCACTTACTAATACCAATAGTTATTTCAGCAAATATCATACGTAACGCCCGCATATGTGATGGTGTTGTCGATGCTATGTATGACCAAATGGCGGCCAATACGGCCAACATTCCTCCAGATAATATACCCGGTAGACATGATATCAATACTAGATATTCACCTAAATTTTATCAACAAATAAAAATAATATTATATTATTTTTATTGTAAAAAAAGTATTTTAACAATATATTTTTTATCACTTAACAGTTATTTAAAAAAATGATAAATATAAATGTTATAAATGTCAACACATTATTATTACAGTTAACATATCACATGTTATTATTATTTTTTAATTATCATATATTTTTTAAGTTTTGCATTTATTATTACTATTTTTATAAAAATTACTATACATTAAATACAACATTAATTAACATATAGATATTATTTTTAAAAAATAAATACAAACTTTTATCATAAAAATAATCGCAGAGCACAAGTATGATTGCCTCACAGACAGCTGTGACCGCACCGGCAATCAGAAGCACTCGTTTAGCGTTTAAGTATTTGTCAGTCCACGACCCGATGAACAGGGAGGCCACCATCGATGGCAGTGTTACTAATATCACCTGATATATAGTAAAAGTGGTGCCATTGGCCAGTATTTGTGACTTTTTATTAAGATAGTCCTCTTCATCCATCATTTCGGGCAGTTTTGTACAATAGTCGACATCGAGTTGGTATCTGAAACGACATATCTTGTCCTGAATTAACTGATCCGTCGGTACTTTCTTTAGCGTATAGACAAACATAAAGGCAAACAAATACGGTTCAACTCTTAATAGTGTTAAAAAGTGATAACAACTTTTCAAATATTGCAAACATGTTTTTCTATCAGACATTATATTTTTTAAAATTTTAATCAAATATTACTATTTTTGTTATATATATTTAGTAAACAATCAATTTTTAAAAATATTGTTTTAAATAAATTTTATTTGACGGGTTCTTCTATTTATATATTTTTATTTACAACTAATTATGAGTAATCAAATTTTAAATACAATTTATATACTTTTATTTTAAATGTATTTTTTTGTGTAATTTAAGTAATTATTATTAGCTTATCATTTAACAATTTGCACTACATTGTACCTCTTATCACATTAACGTTAATTATCAAGGTTGCATAAATTTATTATGTTATATTTTTATTAGCAATACCTAATTGTTAAACATTGATTCAAAACGTTATTCATTATGATATTACTTTATATATATATATATATAGTTATTAATTAATATTATTCGTTGTAAAATATTTCAATAAAATTGTTTTTTATTAATAATAGTTTGTAAAAATTATATTCATTAGTGTAATGAACTTGTTTTTAGATGATAGTTTGTAATTGTAAAGGGTAAGATACTGTATTACAATATTTAATATAAAGTTGTCAAATATACTGTATATAAAAAATATCAATATTAAACATATTGAAGGTATAAAATATTTTTGCTGTTATTTTTAAAATTGAGACAAATTACTAGATAAAATGTTTTTTAAACTTAATTTATTAACTTAAATTTAGGGTTTAAACTTAAAATATAGCTCAACTTACAATTTTTTAATACTACTCATCCCTTATGTTGACTGTAATACATCCCCGGGTTAGACATCAAAGCAAATTAACACAAGTTTGACACAATTATGAGCTGCAATTACATGTATTATATATTACTAAAGTATTGATTATTAGTTATTGTTACTGTATTAAATAATTGTTATAATAGTTGCTTAAAAAGGCCAAATAGTTACTAAAATAGTTATTTAAACTGTATTAAATAGTTGTATATAGTTGCCAAAAAAGCCAAATAGTTATTGAAATAGTTATTTATTTTCTTATAAATATTTGCAACTGATATATAATTCACTTGTTTTCAGCATATTTACAAAAATGATCTAAAAATAAACTAATTATTTCTATTGTTTAAAAAGTAATATGAGATGATAACAGTTTACACATTTTATCTAATTTATATAACTATTAAATTTTGTTTTTACATATATTTGTGCAATATTTTACAATTTAATGCTTATATTTTTCAAAATCATTGAAATAGTTATTTATAAGTTTTTATAGTTTCTAACCCAACAAATAGTTATTTATAGTTATAATAAAATTTCGGAAATAGCGTCCACTGGTCAACTTCGGTGGACATACTAAGTCCCAGTTACAAGCGTTGAACCGACAAAATAATTTTTTTAGTTGAAAATCAAGACACTATATATTACTAATATAATATTAGACTGTTTTTTAAAATTTAAAGTTTGTATAATTGATTAAATCTATTGGGACTCATATTTATATTATACTTATATTTTAATTTTAATTTTGAATAAATTTCTATATTAATATGTATAATATAGTGTTATTAAACACTTAATAATTTGAATATATATTTAATTTATATTGTTAACATTAAACATTATAAATTATTAATATTGTTATAAAGTATAATGGATAATTATGAAAGATAATTACTAAGCATCATGTTGTCTTGGTTATATATCAATAATAATAATAATTCCTATAAAAATAACTATATTAAATTGATAATTAAAATGAAATTATTATAATACAATATATTTATAATTAAAGAGTATAATTATAACATATAATGTAAATTACATTCTGTAACAATTTTGCATAGATTGTGGAACAAACTTAATAATAATTAAAAATTAAAAAATTGATATTAGCATATATAAAATTTAAGTACAAAATAATAATTTGAACAAACAAATTATGGACATTAATATTTTACATTATTATTAAGTTAAAAATATTAAGTTAAAACAATTAAATAACATAAATTTCATTTAATACTATTAATAAATATAGAATTTTGTATAAACTCATATAGAAATACTCATATAATAAATGTTTATTAAAATAAATACTATAAATATTTTTTTGATTTATCATTAATTCTCACCTGATTTTTATTTTTTAAAAAATATATATTGTAAACAAATATTTCTTTGCATTAGATAAAAACTAATTCAAGTATTTTATCATTTGAAATACTGTATTATTAAAGGTATTAATAATATTTAATAACTTATTTATACAATTAGCAATTTCAAGTAAAAACAAGGCATTATTTTCTTATTAATCATAAATTATTATTATCTCTATTAGTATTAATAATAGAAAATTATATAATGTGCATTAAAACTGATAGTGAATATATAGTATATATAAAAATGTATAATTTTGTAAAAATGCTAATTGAATTGAAAAATAAAAGATTTAGTTAATAATAAATATTTTGACATTGCATTATCCTTTTTTATAGAGTTATCATATTTATAACCTTTTAGTAAAAATTTAAAAATATAATATTAGTTGTGATGGCAAATATCAGTATATTATTATACAGTATATAACGTATATGAGAATAATAGATATAAATTAATTAGAAAGTTATCAGTGGTAACACATTTATATTATTTGATAACAACTACTGTATCGTACGTTTTTGTTATGAGTATTGTAACAACTATTTATAATGTGATGTCAATAATATTTTAATTATCTAAACATATTTCGCATATGATTGTTATTTTTTTACACTAACCTAGTTTTACCATTGTCAATGTTTGTGTCAATGTCAATTTAGTAATTCAAAAAATAGTGTCTCCAACATTTTTTTTTTGTTAAAAATAACAATTTTATGCATTTATTTGCATTTTGAAGCTTAATATTATTTTCAAGTAAAATGAATTGTTTGGACTGCAATTACATTAATAATAAAAGAAATTTGTTTGTAATAATATTTTTGTTGAAAATTGCGACAATTGTGCCAAAAAATGCCGAATAATAACAATTATATTCGACAAAGAGTTCCCGTAATTTTGAATGACTTTAAATTGTGTCGAAAAATAAGTCCGGCGTTGAAATGCAAAATCAAAATTTTCAAAGTGTTTGCAGATTTAGATAAAAACGACAAATGTTTTGATAATAATGTCTTATTATTAACCTATGAGGACAAGGCTTATGGATTGGGTGCCAATAGTTGTAATTTTCTGGCACTCGGACACAATGATGTTGTAACTGAACCGCAGTATATACCGGAACTGTCATTTAAAAAACTATGCGATTTTGATGAGGGATGCAATTTTATGGTGGGTCGTACTGAAAATGGTGATGTAATAACTTGGGGCGATAATAGTAGAGGACAGTTAGGTGTTGGCTATGAATGCGCTAATTTTATTTCGCCAAATAAACTGATGTTTGACAATAATGATGAAGATATTGTACAAATCAGTTGCGGAAGTAGTCATTCATTGGCACTAACATCATGTGGAAAGGTATATGCATGGGGTGACAACAGGTACAGACAGACAGGCGCCAAAACACCTGATTCTGCGCCGGTATTGTTGCCTATGAAAGTGGCGCTCAATAAAAATCAGATTAAGTATGTATACGCTGGTTATGATACATCATTTGCTATTACAATGAACGGCCAGGTATACAGTTGGGGCTGTAATCAGTGGGGTGTGGCCGGTCATGATAATGATAAGGATGGTGGTCATGAAATTATACAAATGCCCAAACTTGTTGACATACCCGTTACTGTCAAAGTATGCAGCAATCAGTTGAACAGTTATTTTTTAACATTAGATGGCTATCTGTATATATGCGGTCGAATTGAAGAACAGTCGCCTAATGATCAGTTATCTCATGAAACAGTAGTACCGATACAATATAAATATGAATCAAAACCGGTACAACTATACGATAAACAGATCTATGATATTTATTGCTGCAGATTTGAGAACAAACCTCTGGAAGTGCTTATAATGAAAGACATGGTTTATAAGCCTTTTCAAAATCAATTGTTTAAAACAAAATACGGAAACTATTTTGAGTATTTAAAAGACAAACAATTGACGTACAAAACAATACATTTGGCAAATTCTGGTCTAATATCTACTATGGAGTTAACTATCATAACTAATAATAATGATAAAAAACTTTTTGGCAAATTTATGAGCATGCTCAATTTGTTTAATAGCAAAAAGCAAAAAATTAAATTACTGAAAACACAATCTAGATCTGTGTACAGCATTGATGACAAATTTGATACTAATTTCAATAATGTCCAACAAATTGGTCAGGGTAATTTTGGTCAAGTCTATAGTGTCATCGATAATACTGATAACAAGGAATATGCATTGAAAAAGATTACAATAGATGGTATTGTTTAGTATTTGTATAAATACTTTAATTGAATTTTAATTATAATTTTAATATATATTATATATTTAATAGAGGAGTCTGTATGTCATCAGGCGCTCTGGGAGATACAGACGATAGCTAGACTGGACAACCAGTTTATTGTACGATATCATTGTGCTTGGATTGAAAATAACAAATTTGTTTACATACAAATGCAACTATGTTTGGATAATCTTAGAAATATATTGAAAATTAGGAACCAGGCATTTGATAGGAAGTCCCAGCAAATTATGTCAATTACAGAATTTTTTGTTTGGTGTAATGTATTTACTGAGATAGTCAATGGACTCAATTATTTGCATTCAATGGACCCGCCTATTATACACAGGGATTTAAAACCGGCCAACATTTTGATTACCGAACCCAATGAAAACGACAATTTCGTAAAGATATCGGATTTCGGTTTTTCAGTATTGCATAGTTCGGACTCTGAAAGTCATACTCAAGGTGTGGGTACAGAAAAATTTATGGCACCAGAAGTTATGTATTATAAAAATTATAATATTAAGTCAGATATTTGCAGTTTGGCACTGATATCAAATAAAATGTTTAATATTAAGATGGGATGGTAAGTACTGTAATTTATTTATATTATTATACTGTAAATACAGTATACAAATATAGTACTGTATTACTTAGACTGTAATATGTTTTATCAATATATATATATATATATACTATATATATAAAATTTTAAAAAGTTTTATTTTTTTCTTTAATTTTTAGCTCAGAAAAACTTATTGATATTTCTGATAAAAATTATGAATCGTTAACAAAATCATTGAAATCAATGCTTACTTTTCCGGACTACAATGATAGACCTAATTGTAGTCAAATTATGGTAAACTCTAATAATTGGATTATACATAAAACTGATAAAAATTTGACTAATGAATCGCTAAGTTATAGAAAATTACTTAATGGTTATAATAATAAGTTTTTCTATAATTATTTAGTAAGAAAATTATAAATAAAATATACAAAAATCCTGGAAATTATCTATGGTGAGATTAATGTGTTTTATAAAGTATTTAAGATAAATTTATAGTATAAATTGACTATTGAGATAATATATCAGAAACATAAAAATAATGAAAATTAACTTCATTATCAATAATATTATTTAAATATATAGATTAATAAATAATTAATATATTACAAGATACTAAATTATTGTTTTAAACAACTACATTAAAATAATATAAAAATTAGTTTACTAGAGTCCTGAAAGCACAATATACTGTACCGTAATGTAAAATATATTTAATATTACTAAAGATAATATAAATATTTTTAAAAAGTTTATTAATATTGTAATGTTTCAATAATTAAAATATTATAAACTAAAACTAATATAAAGTTAACTATTAAAACAAATAAATTTAACTAATAACTAATAAATATTAAATAAATATTAATTAATTAACCATAGTTTAAATGAAATTATTTAACTAATATATATTTGTAATTAATAATATCAAATCAAACTATTCCCGCTTCAGAGGCCAGTGAATAAAATATAGAGTTTTGATTACTAAGCAAAACGTCGGGTGAGTCAAACTCAGCTACCGTTCCCTCGTTAAGCACTAAAACACGATCCGAATCCATAATCGTATTGATTCGGTGGGCAATTGTCAGTATAGTACACATTGGGAACTCATTTCTTATGGTTTGTTGTATGAGTGAATCGGTCTCCACATCGACGGCAGCCGTGGCCTCATCTAGGATAAGGATATTCGTGTGTCGTAGTAATGCCCGACACAAACATACCAGTTGTCGCTGACCCACACTATTCACCATAATATACATCATTATATGCAAAATGTAAATATTAATCATATTATACCTCAGATTACCACCGCCTTCACATATAATATAATTGAGACCTAATTCTTGTGATTTAATAAACTCTTTGAGATTACATTTGTCTAATACTGTCCACAAGTCATCGTCGGAGAACTTGTTAAAGGGATCCAAATTTGTGCGAACTGTTCCCGAAAACAATACCGGTTCTTGCGGTATAATTGTTAAACGAGATCTTAAATCCTAAATTAATTGTAAATTAATTTTTATTTATTTAATAATAGTATAATAAAAATAATTATTAATATTTATAATTACATGTTTAAAATTGTGATTGACTATTAATTATAAAATGAGTACAGTATTTAAACTTTTAATGAAAATAAAGTTATTATACCTCTAGATTTAATAGTGTAATATCAATATTATCGATAATAATTTTTCCCATTATTGGCTCAATTATTCTAAACAATGACTGAGTTATTGATGATTTTCCGGCTCCAGTCCGACCAACTATTCCTATCTAAAAAATATAGACAATTATAGTTTTAAAATAACTAAAATATAAAATAATTACTTTTTCTTTTGGATTAATCTTAAATGAAATCCCTTTGAGAACCAAATCTAATCCTTGTCTATATCTGGTGCCATAATTCACAAATTCAACCGATCCCTTGTCGGGCCAATTGTCTGGCAATTTGTTTGCCGTTTCAGTAGATTTATGTTCGGATTCAATACAACAATATTCGTCAATCCTTTCAACGGAAACTAAATAGTTTTGCAAATCACTAAAATTGACAATTAATTGATTCAATGTATTAGTTAATGTTAATGCATATGAAAGTGACAGTCCTATTGAGCCCCCAGTAATTGTGCCTCTTTTTAATATAGCAAACAATCCGGCAAATAATATGAGACAATTAGATATAGTTTCGAGTCTAACTTGAAGCCAAACTTTTGTAATATAATTATAATAAATGAATCTCTGATTTATATCTAATTGTTTGTTATTTTCATTAATAAATTGTTCACAACATCCATACGCTCTAATTGTGGTAACACCTGTCAATGTGGCACTAAAATTGGCAAATATTGGCGAATTACTTACGGAGTCTAACCTAAATATCACGAATAAATATAAATTATATTAATTTTTAATTTTAATTTACTAATAATTAATAATTATGCTTACTGTCTTAATTTTCTGGAAGTACGTATAAAAATTGTCTATAAAATAAAAATTTAAAGATTTATTTAAATTTTTTGAAAAAAAAATTATTATCTCAAACCTGTATTAAAAAGTAAATACACATTAGTGGACAAATAACAGCTAAAAACAATGGGGTCTGTATTGATACTATTATTACGATTGATAACAATTGAAATATTTGTTGCAGTGATAAACTAATAAGATAAAGCAATAATTATATTAAAAAACAATGATTAATAAATATAAATATAATAGTAAATACTGTTAATTATACCTAATGGACAATATTAAGAAAAAATCCATTACATCAAAATCACGACTAAATCTATTGAGTATACGACCGATAGGTTGGGTGTCAAAGAAACTCATCGGTGCCGACAATATAGTCGAAAGAAGAGTTTTGTGCAATTGTTTTGAGGCGCGTAAACCAAACTGTCTGATTGTGTTTAGGGCCAAAAATTTCATAATTATCAATACTATGCAAAATATGCCATAAATTGTTAAATAAAATTTATTTTCTTGATTATTAGTAGCAGTATTAGACCATTTTGTTAACCATATATTTGAGCCGGCAGTTAGAGCAATGTGACCAATGTTTGATATAATAATTGTTAAAATACCAAATTTAGTTAATAATTTCATATATTTAGTGTAAACCTAAATTTATTTATAAGTAATTAAAAACATTGTTATATTCATAAAAATATATATTATTTATAATTTATTTAACTAATTACCGAAAACTTAGCATTTTTTACTTCTGCGTTTTCTTCAATTATTAGTCTTTTATTTTTATTAATACTATTTGCATAATCATTATTTTCATCTAAATTTTTGTTGTGTTTATAAACAATAGCTTTATTATTGTTATGATTATCAATACAAATATTATTATCGTTTTCTTCATTATTGATTGTGTCTACAGTTGTATATTGTTTAATAAGTTCAGCGAAATCATTGTCGTTATTAAGCAATTGATTGTAAGCACCCATTGAACTAATTTTACCGTCTTTTAAGATAACAATTAGATCAACATTTGGCAAAACAAACAATTGATTTGTCACTAAAATACGGGTTTTGTTTCGCAAAATACCGGATTTTGAGTCAAAAATATTAGTCATTATATGTTGTCCCACATGACTGTCCACTAAAATAATTAACAATATTTAATTTAATTTATATCTATAAAAAACTATAACACATACCTGCAGACAATGGATCGTCCATAATATAGATATCTGATCCGGAATACACAGCTCGGGCTAAATTGACTCTTTGTTTTTGACCACCGCTTAGATTAACACCATTTTCACCGATTTCTGTCTCATCTCCTCCGGGAAACAATTGTAAATCTTTAATAAGTGCACAGTCATGTAATACTTTTTCATATAATTTTGGTTTAAACTTTTTGCCAAATAAAATATTATTTTTAAGTGTCATATTTTGAATCCAAGCCTGTTGTGATACATAAGCAATTCGTGCACCTTTCCTTATATTAACATTTCCAGACATAATCTCCATTTCACCCAACAGTGCCGATAATAGCGAACTTTTACCGGAACCAACATTTCCAATTATAGCCACAAACATACCGTCACTGATCTTTAGATTAATATGTTTTAAACTAAAACTTGTATTGTCTGTAGTCTTATCCCATGAAAAGTCTCCGTTATCTATACTAACGATTAGACGACTATCTTCTCTACAAACATAAGGATTGATTTCTTTTAAATCAAAAAATTTATTCATCCGATTTATTGATACATTAAGCTAAATAATAAACAATCTTTATATAAAAAATATTATAATATAATATTAATTATAGTAGAATGTAATATAAATTGTATACCAAAATTAACTGATTAATTATTTTTGGCAATGAGTCTAATGGTAATTGTAATATATTTAGTACAGATACTACAACAAATATTTTTTGGGCATCAAATAGTTGACTCTTATCGATGGCTATATAGACAGCAAATGTAATTACTATAATCATTGGTGACAACGATGCCGATAATGATGTACTAAAATTCATACAATTTGAAAATACATTCAAATGTATGATTTCTAGTTTTCTAATATTTCTAATTAATTTATTGAATGCCATTTCCCACGCGTAAAACTATTATGTATTTTTTAAATAATAATAATAATTATTTTTAGTTATTATTATATTAATACTAAAGTTTTGGACATACCTTAACAACTTTAATGCCATTAAGTATATCATTAATAATTTTCATTCTCTGATCTTTTAGTATCATTTGCTTGAATTGTCTCTTTCGTGCGTAACTAATGAGCAGTATATTGATTGGATATATGAGTGCAATAGCGGCCACACCGGCTAATACTGATATACCGAACTCATTGTACAATAAATACATCGCTAGTATTAATTGGACGGGTATTGACCATAAAAAGCTCATAAATGGTATACAAACTGTTTTTTAATAATTTTTTAATAAAAACAAATTGATATATTAGTGTTTAAAAATATGACATTTTATCAATTATAATAAAATAATTTAATATTTTAGATGTACTTAAAATCCTTTGGCTATCGATTGACATTAAGTTTACTATCTGTCCGACGGATGTCTCATTGTTATTGCTATTACTTAAAACTAATGACTTGCGATATAAAGCAGACATCAAACAAATCTTAATATTAATACCTAATAATTAATATATTTAAAAATTATGTAATTTTGTTATTGTAAATAAACTTTGTAATCAGTTTTGTAACCTAGTTTATATATGCAATAATTGTAATGTGCAGTTACTATTGTAGTCAATATATTGATTAAAACAATTACTAAAACATATAGATAACCGTGCCATTGGGGCTCATAAATGTTTTGTGTATATTTGATTAACAATCTAAATACATGCATTATTATATAAAAAAGAAATTATTGTAATAATATATTACTTATAAATATAATATTTTAATGTAAATTTGTCAAAAATATTATAATACTTAAGTATTATTGGATTTAACATTTGCAAAGAGTCGACCGCCAGTTTCATAATAACAGGTGGTATGTATTGACCATAAAATGCTTTAACTATTATCTTTAAAATGTTATTTTTTGGCAATTTTTCGTTTTTATGTGAGGTTTGTTTTGTTGATTCAAACGAAAAACTATATCGATTTAAAATTTTGTGTCTATTATTAAACAATACTTTTTCAAAATATTTATAAATATTTGCTGTCCTATCACTAGTAGAAACATCCCATATGTTATCGATTCTCAATTGATTTTTCCATCCTTTTATAAACAGACTGTTCAACCAATGAAAAGTTATTTGAGATAAAAACGAAGCATTAGTTTTTGGAGAAACATTTTCATTGATATCATTTGTTTGATAACTATTTGTTGGCATTTGATCACCAAATGAACAAATCAATAGCAATAAGACAGTCAATGCAAATCCAACGTAATATAGTATAACTTCAGTCGGATATCTCAAACCGGGAACCGTTGCATATGTGGCCAAAGTTAGTGCACTGCAAATACTATCCAATAGGAGATACAACCAAACATATCCACTGTCGTGAATACCCCTAACTCTTTGACAATATATAATCACAAATAATGAAAATCGCGTTATCAGTGATAATATAGTTGCTATTATATGAGCTATTGTTATGTCATTGAACCAAACAAACCATAAGATACATAATATACAATTTGCTAATTCAGTTATAACGCTTAACAATGCAATCATTAAGCGACAAATATTTTTATAATTATAATTGATTGACTTATTATCTGATGAAATGCATTGCCATATCATAAAAGGCATAATCAACCAGAAATATACTACTGGTATCCATACGAGTACTGTATCGACCATACATGAGCTGAGTTTTGGTGACGGTGTGTCCCATGTTAGCGACCGGTTCTATAAAAAATCGTTTAAATATTAATAATAATAAAATTATCATTGCATTTTTAAATGCTTACCCAAAATTTTGATTTACAGATAGTTTCAAACATTTTATTATTATTTTTTATTTAATAAACTATAAGATTATTTATATAATTTTTATCTGCTTCCCCAAAATTTTTATTCACATATAATATCTAACATTTTATAATTGGTATTTTATTTAATAAACTATTATATATTAATTTTTTTTAAATATTTATATAAAAATATCAATAAGTTATTTACTTATTAGTTATATTAACACTAAAATTTCTAATAATATATTAGATTTACTGACTTTAGATATTTATATATTAATTATTTATCAACTTAATTTATTATAATGCAATGACTCATTACTAATGATTTACAATATTTATATGTTATTAGTTTAAATTATTATATACTTTGACAAAAAAAATTATAAGCATAAATTTACATTAAAGTTGATAAATTCATTTAGAAATTTATTTTAATATTTGATATTAACAAAAACTAATTATTTACAATACAATTATTATTTAAATTTCTCAAATTAACTATATTTTTGAATGATTTTATTCAAATTTAATATAAAATTTGTATAATTGCTTTCTGTATATAATTATTGTTTAACTTAGAATTTGAAAACAAACTTTGAAAAATATTTTTATCTTCTGGAATCTGTCTGTATGTCTGTGTCTGTGCATATTTAATAATGACCATGATCAAAATGGCCGATTCAATCTTTCAACTGATTAATTTTAATAATAAATAAATGTTTTTGTATTTTTGTAGATTATTTTTGGTATAATATTATTCATAAGGACTAATGGTTATTGTCGATGAATATTTTTTTTACAATATGACTCTTATTAAAAAAAATTAAACTACATTATGAAAAATATTATTAGGRGGGGGATTCACTTTTTAAGAAATCTAGACCCACTTCCTCCCCTATGTTCGTAATTTTTCGCATATAGTCTTTTAAAAAATTACGTTCTCATGTTCCCGCTAACCGCTTTCACCCCCCCACCACTGCAATAAAATATCTTAATGCGAACGGTCTTAAAGTCAACCCTACCCTTCCTAGTACTAACCCTTTCATACCTGATTGACCATTGACTTACCTTTCCCTATATAAGCACCTGTAATACATCCGCATCGCTCTCTAACACTTTACCTTTTACTCAGTACACACCTGAGATATCATTACCAATTATTTTTATTATTTACACGTGTTTTACTATTTATTTGTTTTATTAATAAAGTTAGTTATTATTGTGCATTCTCTTTGTGTATCATTTTAACAATATTGGTACTCTTATTGACGTCACCCGAACCAGCTGTCATCGTGATTCCCAGAATCACTCTGACTTCTACATTACCATAACTCACCCCGTCACCGTAAATCCCAACCTCACATTGAGTTCTATCCTCACAGTGAACCCCAAGCGTCACCCTGATTACCGACCTCATCGTGAGACCCGATCTTAAATAATAATAGCATCAATTGGCGCACCGTCGGCAGGATAACCTCCGCAATCCAAAATTATTCTTTGCTCAGGTCACCGAATTCGAACACCGGAAATAACCGGAAATCAAACTGAAATGACTACAAGCACTTCTACAAATACAATGTCGGACGGATTCAATCAGAGTCGAAATAAACGCCCGGCTCTTGAAAAGTTTAATGGCCACAAAACTGTTATAAGAGCCGATCTCTGGATCGGACTCTTTGAAGTCGCAACAAGAGATTTAGCCGAAAGCGACCGAACCTATGAGCTTATGACATTCCTAACTGACGATGCCTTGAATTGGTATGCAACCGAAATTGCCCCGAATATACTCACAATGACTTGGGCTGAAACACGAGGACAATTCATACAACGATTTGCATCTCAAAGAGAGGACGCCTTAATCCTTGCACAAGAAAGAAAACTAAACAACAATGAGACAGTAAAAGACTACTTTGATGAGAAAATGCGATTTCTACGACAGGCAGACCTCAACGACAACAATATCGTTGGACAACTAACTGCGGGAATGCCCGAGTCATAAAAGGGTTACCTCTTGTGTGCCTTACCTAAAACTCACATAGAATGGTTAACATTGGCTCAGAGACTGTAATCATCTCGACTTTGTAGTCAATCTAAAATGAAGGAACTCAAATTGAGTACTCAGATTCAAGCTGACGCCCGTACTCAACCTGAATTTCGACGTCAAACATATGCTATGGCTGTACAACCGAATCGTCAAAACGAATCTGATAATCAACCTCCCGGTCCGTGCCGCAAATGCTCCCAAGCTGGTGTCACTGCTTGGCATTGGCATCGCGAGTGTCGTAGACAATGGCCAAATATCAGAAATTTGGCTACTCAACAGTCAGCAAATAATCCATTTGTCCAGACAAATCGACCAAATCAAGCATCATATAGAGATAGATTCAATGTGAATCCGCGACCTCAAGGCGTATCATATTTTACTGGAGACGATAATCAGTCTGAGGACATCATCGCTCAGGGAAACGCTTTGGGCGGTCGTCATTAACTGAGATCGCGGTACGGGTCAACGATATTCCTACTAAAGCAGTTATCGACTCTGGTGCTACCATAAACATAATGAGCACAGCTTTTGCCAGAGTACTCAACAAAACGCCTGACCCACGAACCGCTATTCCCGTTGCAGGAATCAATGGGATTTCTCAATCAGACGGCCGCCTAACAATCACTCTTCGCATCAACAAAACAGTACTTAAAGTGCACGCGCACGTCCTCAAAGACTCTCCCAAGCCATTCATCATGGGTGACGGCACCTGTGCTGACTTCGGCTTGCATCTCGACTTCAAACGGAAGCTCGTTACACAAGAAAACTCACTCTCGTCGCAAAGACAGCTCTGTCTCACTACAAGCCGACCAAAGATTTCCGGACTCAACGCGAGTCACATAAAAGTCAACATGACATCTACTCAATATGAATCTACTCCAATGTCTACACGACTCGTACTGAAACAGTACCCTCAATTATTTTCAGCGGATCCTAATGACGTGGGCCGCATTCCAAACGTATCTCATCACATTCGACTACTTCCTGAGCAGCAGCCAATACATCAACGACCTTATCGCCACTCGATCGCAGATCTCAACGAAATCAGAAGACAAATTAAAATACTACTCGACAAGAAACTAATCCGTCATTCAAAGTCTCCATTCGCTTCACCAGTAACACTCGCAAAGAAGAAAGATGGATCCGCGAGACTTTGTATTGACTATCGACGACTTAATTCTATCACAATCGACGAACGTGAACCTCTTCCCCGAATTCAAGACATTATTGACCAACTATCGAACTCACGTAGATTTTCGTCACTCGATATGGCATGGGGCTATTGGCACGTCCCTATGAGTAACGAATCAATCGAACGCTCAGCATTTGTCACTCCCGACGGTCACTATGAGTGGCTTGTTCTTCCTTTTGGTCTCAAGAACGTTCCGCCAACATTTCAACGAATCATTCGACATGTAGTGGGAGACCTACTAAACAATGGTGTGATACTATACAATTCATCACAGGCCCGGCGTTCGTAATCAGGCAGCGGATGCATTATCCCGTAATCCGGTAATATCGCTTCTTATTGATCAAAATCGTTTGAAAATGGCTCAACAAAAGCAAAACCCAATAACTCATAGTGAATCCGGAAATCATAATGAATTCGCAACTCATTATGAGTCTTGGAATCACATTGATTCAAAATGTCATATTGATGATAATGGGATAATAAGGTATAGACATAAAGGTCTCAACAGATACTACGTGCCTCCGACGTTACAAATAGAGGTTTTACGCCATTATCATGACGATATGGGACATCCGGGAATTGCCGCGACAACACAGCTGCTTACTGGACATTATTGGTGGCCATCGGTAGATGACAGTATAAAATCATACGTCAAAACTTGTAAAACTTGTCAATTAGTAAAACCTTCAAACAGGAAATCATTAGGACTCCTACAACCTATTCCAACACCGATTTTACCAAACATTTTATGGGCAATGGACACAATTGTCATGGGATCGACTGGAAGCGCAAAATCAAAATACATTCAACTAATAGTCGATCATCATTCTCGGCACGTATGGACACAAGTAACCGCCGACAACAAAGCTAAAACTGTAGTCAGATTCATGAAGAATCTCATCGAACTCATAGGGAGGCCCGAACAACTCATTACCGACAGAGGAACTAATTTCATCTCAAAGACATTTGCTGAGTTCATATCGAAGCAAAACATAAATCACACGTTATCATCACCGTATCATCCTCAAGCCAATGGTTTATGTGAAAAGGCAAACCACATCATCATAACTAAACTTAAATCAATTCGACTCGATCAACCTAACAGACATTGGTCAAAGCTTCTACCCGAGGTCGTTGATCAATATAACCGAACACCACATGGAACAACAGGATACTCACCACAATTTTTACATTTTGGAACTCCATCTGACGCTCTCTGCGACACGAAATCTCTTGACATCGCTAGACAAGAGTCAATAAGACGCTCAGATGAAGACAAAGAGAAGCGAAAACAAATTCACAATGAATCCCACACAGCATCCAATTTCAAAACCGGAGATCTAGTTGTGCGCAAACTTGCAGCACATCATCCATCAAAACACAAGCTTTCACCTACAAATACGGGACCATATATCATCATCAGGAGTCTGGGTGATGAAACTTATGCTATTCGACCAACTCATGATGAATCCCCGGACACTTTATCCTACGTCGCGCACTCCAGTCAACTGAAGCCGTTCAACCTCCGTGCGAACGATAACGGCGGGGGAATGATGCCAATAGATGTCAACCCTACCCTTCCTAGTACTAACCCTTTCATACCTGATTGACCATTGACTTACCTTTCCCTATATAAGCACCTGTAATACATCCGCATCGCTCTCTAACACTTTACCTTTTACTCAGTACACACCTGAGATATCATTACCAATTATTTTTATTATTTACACGTGTTTTACTATTTATTTGTTTTATTAATAAAGTTAGTTATTATTGTGCATTCTCTTTGTGTATCATTTTAACAATATTGGTACTCTTATTGACGTCACCCGAACCAGCCGTCATCGTGATTCCCAGAATCACTCTGACTTCTACATTACCATAACTCACCCCGTCACCGTAAATCCCAACCTCACATTGAGTTCTATCCTCACAGTGAACCCCAAGCGTCACCCTGATTACCGACCTCATCGTGAGACCCGATCTTAAATAATAATAGCATCAATATATAATAATAATAAATAGTAAAATTTATATAATCTGATTACAGTTTAAATAAAAATGTCTAATTAGTATAAATTTATAATTTATAAAAGTGAGTAAATAATAAAAATTTATAATTAATAAAATCAAATCAAACTATTCCCGCTTCAGAGGCCAGTGAATAAAATATAGAGTTTTGATTACTAAGCAAAACGTCGGGTGAGTCAAACTCAGCTACCGTTCCCTCGTTAAGCACTAAAACACGATCCGAATCCATAATCGTATTGATTCGGTGGGCAATTGTCAGTATAGTACACATTGGGAACTCATTTCTTATGGTTTGTTGTATGAGTGAATCGGTCTCCACATCGACGGCAGCCGTGGCCTCATCGAGGATAAGGATATTCGTGTGTCGTARTAATGCCCGACACAAACATACCAGTTGTCGCTGACCCACACTATTCACCATAATATACATCATTATAAATTTATGCAAAATATTTAGCATATTTTTAGTAAATATTTATCATATTATACCTCAGATTACCACCGCCTTCACATATAAGATAATTAAGACCCAATTCTTGTGATTTAATAAACTCTTTGAGATTACATTTGTCTAATACTGTCCACAAGTCATCGTCGGAGAACTTGTTAAAKGGATCCAAATTTGTGCGAACTGTTCCCGAAAACAATACCGGTTCTTGTGGTATAATTGTTAAACGAGATCTTAAATCCTAAATAAATTGTAAATTAATTTTTATTTATTTAATAATAGTTTACTAATAGTTTTATTATTGATAATTTATTATATTTAATAGTTTAATAGTTTTTATTTATGATTTTTTATGTTTAAAATGCAATAGTAGTTAATGCAAATAATTTTTTATACCTCTAGATTTAATAGTGTAATATCAATATTATCGATAATAATTTTTCCCATTATTGGCTCAATTATTCTAAACAATGACTGAGTTATTGATGATTTTCCGGCTCCAGTCCGACCAACTATTCCTATCTAAAAAATATAGACAATTATAGTTTTAAAATAACTAAAATATAAAATAATTACTTTTTCTTTTGGATTAATCTTAAATGAAATCCCTTTGAGAACCAAATCTAATCCTTGTCTATATCTGGTGCCATAATTCACAAATTCAACCGATCCCTTGTCGGGCCAATTGTCTGGCAATTTGTTTGCAGTTTCAGTAGATTTATGTTCGGATTCAATACAACAATATTCGTCAATCCTTTCAACGGAAACTAAATAGTTTTGCAAATCACTAAAATTGACAATTAATTGATTCAATGTATTAGTTAATGTTAATGCATATGAAAGTGACAGTCCTATTGAGCCCCCAGTAATTGTGCCTCTTTTTAATATAGCAAACAATCCGGCAAATAATATGAGACAATTAGATATTGTTTCGAGTCTAACTTGAAGCCAAATTTTTGTTATATAATTATGATAAATGCATCTCTGATTTATATCCAATTGTTTGTTATTTTCATTAATAAATTGTCCACAACATCCATACGCTCTAATAGTGTTAACACCTGTCAATGTGGCACTAAAATTGGCAAATATTGGCGAATTACTTACGGAGTCTAACCTGAATATCATAAATAAATATACTTTTTTAAAAAATGCTAAATTTAATTAACTAATAACTATGCTTACTGTCTCAATTTTCTGGATGTTCGTATATAAATTGTCTATTAAATAAAAGTTAAATAAATAAAATAGTTTTAAAATATAATTATTATTTCATACCTGTATTAAAAAGTAAATACACATTAGTGGACAAATTGCAGCTAAAAATAATGGTGTTTGTATTGATACTATTGTTACAATAGATAACAATTGAAGAATTTGTTGCAGTGATAAACTGATAAAATAAAGGTAATGAATATCAAAATTCATAAATCAATAAATAATAAAAATAAATATGAATATTAATTATACCTAATGTATAATATTAAAAATATATCCATTACATCAAAATCACGACTAAATCTATTGAGTATTCGACCGATAGGTTGGGTGTCAAAGAAACTCATCGGTGCCGACAATATAGTCGAAAGAAGAGTTTTGTGCACTTGTTTTGAGGCGCGTAAACCAAACTGTCTGATTGTGTTTAGGGCCAAAAATTTCATAATTATCAATACTATGCAAAATATGCCATAAATTGTTAAATAAAATTTATTTTCTTGATTATCACTGGCAGTATTAGACCATTTTGTTAACCATATATTTGAGCCGGCATTTAGAGCAATGTAACCAATGTTTGATACAATAATTATTAAAATTCCAAATTTAGTTAATAATTTCATATATATAGTGTAAACCTTAATTTAAGTAATTAAAATCAGTAAAAACAAAAATAAGTAATCATTGTTTAAATTAGAAAAAATATATACTATTTATAATTTATTTAWCAAATTACCGAAAACTTAGCATTTTTTACTTCAGAGTTTTCTTCAATTATTAGTTTTTTATTTTTTTCCGTAATACTAATATTATTTGCATAATCATTATTTTCATCTAAATTTTTGTAATGTTTAGAAACAATAGCTTTATTATTGTTATGATTATCAATACAAATATTATTATCATTATCTTCATTATTGTTTGTGTCCACAGATGTGTATTGTTTAATAAGATCAGCGAAATCATTGTCGTTATTAAGCAACTGCTTGTAAGCACCCATTGAACTAATTTTACCGTCTTTTAAGACAACAATTAGATCAACATTTGGCAAAACAAACAATTGATTTGTCACTAAAATACGGGTTTTGTTTCGCAAAATACCGGATTTTGAGTCAAAAATATTAGTCATTATATATTGTCCCACATGACTGTCCACTAAAATAATTAACAATATTTAATTTAATTTATATCTATAAAAAACTATAACACATACCTGCAGACAATGGATCGTCCATAATATAGATATCTGATCCGGAATACACAGCTCGGGCTAAATTGACTCTTTGTTTTTGTCCACCGCTTAGATTAACACCATTTTCACCGATTTCTGTCTCATCTCCTCCGGGAAACAATTGTAAATCTTTAATAAGTGCACAGTCATGTAATACTTTTTCATATAATTTTGGTTTAAACTTTTTGCCAAATAAAATATTATTTTTAAGTGTCATATTTTGAATCCAAGCCTGTTGTGATACATAAGCAATTCGTGCACCTTTCCTTATATTAACATTTCCAGACATAATCTCCATTTCACCCAACAGTGCCGATAATAGCGAACTTTTACCGGAACCAACATTTCCAATTATAGCCACAAACATACCGTCACTGATCTTTAGATTAATATGTTTTAAACTAAAACTTGTATTGTCTGTAGTCTTATCCCATGAAAAGTCTCCGTTATCTATACTAACGATTAGACGACTATCTTCTCTACAAACATAAGGATTGATTTCTTTTAAATCAAAAAACTTATTCATCCGATTCAATGCTACATTAACCTAAATAGTAAGAAATTTTTATATCAAAAATATAATATAATATAAACTATAATAAATTGAATAAATATAAATTGTTTACCAAAATTAACTGATTAAACATTTTTGGTAATGACTCTAATGGTAATTGTAATATATTTAGTACTGATATTACAACAAATATTTTTTGGGCATCAAATAGTTGACTGGTATCGATGGCCATATAGACAGCAAATGTAATTACTATAATTATTGGTGACAACGATGCCGATAATGATGTACTAAAATTCATACAATTTGAAAATACATTCAAATGTCTGATCTCTTTATTTCTAATATTTATAATTAATTTATTGAATGCCATTTCCCACGCGTAAAACTATTATGTATTTTTAAAATAATAATAATAATTATTATTTCAATATTAGTTATTATATTAATATTAAAATTTTTGACATACCTTAACAACTTTAATGCCATTAAGTATATCATTAATAATTTTCATTCTCTGATCTTTTAGTATCATTTGCTTGAATTGTCTCATTCGTGCATAAATTATGAATAGTATATTCATTGGATATATGAGTGCAATAGCGGCCACACCGGCTAATACTGATATACCGAACTCATTGTACAATAAATACATCGCTAGTATTAATTGGACGGGTGTTGACCATAAAAAGCTCATAAATGGTAAAAAAACTGTTGTTTACATAAAATATTGATATATTAGTGTTTAATATGATTAACATTTAAATATTAATTTAATGTATTTTATATACTTAAAACCCGTTGGCTATCGATGGACATCAAGTTTACTATCTGTCCGACTGATGTCTCATTGTTAGTACTCAAAACTAATGACTTACGATATAGGGCTGACATCAAACAAATCTTAATATTTATACCTAATAATTAAAATATTAAAATCTTGTTATATTTAATATTTTAAATTTTATTGTTGTAAATAAAATAATCTTATAATCATGTATACCTAGTTTATATATGCAATGATTGTAATGTGCATTTATTATTGTAGTCAATATATTGATCATAACGATTACTACAACATATAGATAACCGTGCCATTGGGGCTCATCAATGTTTTGTGTATATTTGATTAACAATCTAAATACATGTATATTAATAAAGAAAAATTATGTTAATTAATATATTTGTGTCTTAATAGTATTTTATTATTAGTTTATCTAAAAAACCCGTAAAAATACTTAAGTATTATTGGATTCAACATTTGCAAAGAATCGACCGCCAGTTTTATAATAGCCGATGGTATGTATTGACTATAAAATGCTTTAATTATTATCTTTAAAATGTTATTTTTTGTCAATTTTTCGATTTTACGTGAGGTTTTATTTGGTGATTCAAACAAAAAACTATATCGATTTAAAATTTTATTGTTGTCTTTCTTATGTTTATTATTTAACCAAACATTTTCAAAATATTTATAAATATTTGCTGTCCTATCACTAGTAGAAACATCCCATATGTTATCGATTCTCAATTGATTTTTCCATCCTTTTATAAACAGACTGTTCAACCAATGAAAAGTTATTTGAGATAAAAACGAAGCACTAGTTTTTGGAGAAACATTTTCATTGATATCTTTTATTTGATAACTATTTGTTGGCATTTGATCACCAAATGAACAAATCAATAGCAATAAGACAGTCAATGCAAATCCAACGTAATATAGTATAACTTCAGTCGGATATCTCAAACCGGGAACCGTTGCATATGTGGCCAAAGTTAGTGCACTGCAAATACTATCCAATAGGAGATACAGCCAAACATATCCACTGTCGTGAATACCCCTAACTCTTTGACAATATATAATCACAAATAATGAAAATCGCGTTATCAGTAATAATATAGTTGCTATTATATGAGCTATTGTTATGTCATTGAACCAAACAAACCATAAGATACATAATATACAATTTGCTAATTCAGTTATAACGCTTAACAATGCAATCATTAAGCGACAAATATTTTTATAATTATAATTGATTGACTTATTATCTGATGAAATGCATTGCCATATCATAAAAGGCATAATCAACCAGAAATATACTACTGGTATCCATACGAGTACCGTATCGACCATACATGAGCTGAGTTTTGGTGACGGTGTGTCCCATGTTAGCGACCGGTTCTATAAAAAATCGTTTAAATATTAATAATAATAAAATTATCATTACATTTTTAAATGCTTACCCAAAATTTTGATTTACAGATAGTTTCAAACATTTATTTGTTTTATTATATGTTATATTATCATATTAAAAAAATAATATTTATATTCTAATTATTAAAACGTGTTTACTTTATAAATATATTTAAAAAAAAAATTTCTAAAATATCTTATAATTATTGACTTTATTTATATTAATTAATTACTAAAATTATTTTTCGAAATACAATGATTTACAAAATTTTCTGAAAGGTTTTTTTATTAATTGCTTTTATATTATTATATTTGAATATTATTTATGTCAGCATTTTTTTCATTGAATAAACTTTAATAAAAAATGATTAAAGTAACTAAAAGTATATTGATGAACATTTTATTTAAAAATAACATTAGATATAAAAACTATTTATTTTAAGCTTATATTTTGTAATTTTTTGTAAACTTTTATTAATAAATTAAATTTATTCACAAAATATAAAATATTAGTGATATTTACAAAAAACTACAAAAATTACTTTATTACTAACTTAAGTTGAATAGAGTAAATGTTTTTATTGTTACAATTTTTTACATACACTATGTAAAACTATCTAATAATTTAAATTATGGTAATTTTATTAAATTATATATATATATAATAATAATAATAATAATAATAATTTTGTTTTCTATTAAAAATACTCGATCTTACACTAAAAACATGAACTATACATATATACTGTATCAATGTCATTGCTTTTAATATAGTTTATTAATATTTGATTTTCAATATCATTTAAATTTTGTTGAGTTCACTGTAAAAACACATTAATTTCCATAATATCCATAGATAATGCAAATTTACTTTTATTTAATTAAATATAAATTTTAATTAAACTAATGATATGGAGTATCAATCACTGGATTGTCTGCCCAACGAAATCCTTCACCACATTCTCGGCTATCTATCGATCAAAGAAAAAATATCTTTAGAAAGAGTTTGCACTAAATGGAGAGCTATGTTGTGGTCATTGTATGGATACCACAAGTCTTTACGTATCAATTGCAACCCATCAGCCAATCTATACAACGGCTGTATCAGCTCAAAGCACATGGATGTAAGAGGCATAGTATCACTGGTGAGCCGTGAAGACACTTTTTGGTCATTCCATTCGTGGCAAACACTGAATGAAGATTTTTTGTGGCCAATCCTCAAGCGATGTGCAAATATCCGGTCCATACACTTGGAGAACAGTTACGTTAACTCCGAGTCAATGTTGTGGATGATCGACATGTGTCCGCGGCTGGAATGTCTTTCCCTCATTGAGATATATGGCTTATGTAGCTTTGAATGGTCGCATCTGGCGTACAGATTGATGGGACGGCTCAAACATTTTTCATTCAGTGACTCTCACAATACCAAACTCGAAAACCTTTCGCCTATAATGACATCACTGAAAGAACTACAACTAATACATTTAGAGTCACCGTTAGATCCATTACTCAGTTATTTGGGACCAAATTTAAATAAACTGACAATAAAGTACTGCTACAGTACTACCTGTCTCGACATTGTCGAAGCATTGGCAACCGGTTCGGGCAAAAATATTAAACAATTGATAATAGTTGACCCGTGGGTCGAGGATGAGGTCGAAGCGCTGCTGTATGCATGCCGTGAGCTCCGAAACTTAAAATTGATGACAATTGGATTCGGCACTATTACCGAGAATATTAGGCCAATATATACATTTCGCAACAGTCGGGAACTGGATATCAACGCTGATCTCAACCGTTGGCATTCAATTCGTGGCTCAACTTTGACCACAATTGAGGCTCTAGTATTAAACGCCTATTTTTCGGCTATACATCTATCGGATTTACCGCTAATGTTTCCAAACCTGCAAAGTCTAGTCCTATATTTTGACTGCGAATGTCCGCAAAGAATCGCTGTTTACGTGTTTTTCTCCAAATGTGACATTTGTTTTCACCGTATCTTCACATATGTCACACCAATTGAATCCCTTACCTATTTATCTCTAAATAACGCTGTTTTTCACAGAAATACAAATCGTTTTCAGTATATCGCGTTTCAGTGATAATAATAATTTGGATTCAATACTGTATTTATATTTTATTTATATCATTGATACTTACTTTTTATATTATATATATTTATTATTATTTAAAATGATAGTTTTATGTTTTAAATTTTATTGTATATCATTATATTTTATTTATAAATCATTCTTAAAAATATTTCATAAATATTGTTTTTTTAATTTGAAAGTTTAAAGTCATTTAAAATGTTTATTTTTTCAATACTGTAAATTTATTTATATATATATATATATCTATTATTAAAGAATTTGAAATTTTTAAATAATTAATTATTACTACTACTATTAATATATTATTTTTATTTACTAACATTATTTAAAGTAAAACTTAAATATAATTGTAATAACTTTTTGATAAGGCGTTGTTCACATATTACGTTCGCACTTGAGAGGAGGGGGGTTAGCCAAAGCGAACTTTTGCGAACGAGGGGGAGGGGAGGGGTAAAGACTTTAAGAACGTTCGCATTTAGATAATATCTTATTTCTTGTGGTGGGGGGGGGGTAGCGGTTATGGATAAGCGAACGTAATTTTTTTAAATAACTACATGCGAACAATTGCGAACATAGGGGAGGGAGGGGTCTAAATTTCTTAAAAAGTGCGAACGTAATATGTGAACCACGCCTAATGATATCATATAACTTATACTGTACTAATAAACCTTGATAAAAATATTACACTACTATTTTAATAAGTTTGTTAATACTGTATAATATAAAATGATTAATTAAACAAGTTTATCAAGTTTAGTACAACATTTTATATAAATGTAATACCAGTACAGTATATTGAAAATTATTAGAGACTTATCAAATAAAATAAAAAATAAAAATGATAAAACATAGTTAAAGTTCATCATATTTAGTCCTATTATTATAGTTTAATTGATATTTTATTGGTATTAATAGAAATCACTTAAGAAATATTATAGTTCAATATATATATTGATAAAAACCAAAATATTGCCGGAAATTTATGATAAGAAAATGAGTCATAAAAATTAATATAAATAATTATTTAGTAAATATATTAAAACATTGTTAGCTACATAAATTAGTTATTAAGTACAATTATTTTTCAATATAATAATAATTATAATAATAGTTTATGATAACTAAACAATGCAATTTGTGTTTTTCAATTCATGGGCAATAATAAGCTATGATTTATCACTTTCGTAACTAATGTACGAATAATAATGATAATAAAAAACTTTTCATTTTGTCGATAACACTTTTATACAATTCAATAGTCTATTATTTTAGCATTTAATATAAAAATAATAATTTTTATGTTATCATTTTCTTAATGAATATAATCATTAAAAAATTGATTTAAAAATTAGGATATTTAAGATATGTTATTGAATATAAAAACATATGGCATTAAATTGCAGTATAGTGTATATTTGTTTTAAACAGTTTTTTGTGCTATTAAATAGCAAATTGTAAATATATATTGTTTAAAAAGTGTAAATAAACATGCTAACTTATAAAAAAATATTAGTAATTTTATATTATTTTTTAATGAGTTTACAAAATTAAGCAACACATTTATTAATTAATAATTTCATAATATTCAATATAAAGTACATGTAGTGTCGAAAATTTTTTTGTGTTGCAATTTATTTGAAAGTTCAATAGAAAAATAATAGTATAATATTTATAGAAAATTATAATAAAATAAAATATTTTGTTTGTGATTTTGTGAAATATACAACAATAACAATAAATTAGAAAAATGAATATAAAAATATTAAAACATAAAATGTTAAGATTTTTTCAATTTATCTCAATCTTAACAATAGAACCATTTATTTTCATCAATACTTTTTCATTGTCTATGAAGAAAGTGCCGGTCGAGCAATTGGTTGAAGACAAGTACTGTCTAATAACTTATGGTCTCAACCGTACATATTGTTTGAATTTGCCGACAATGAATGACACTGACGACTATCTTCACATGAAATCCCAAATTTTAGGCGATGCCACACAATACACATTATACGGTACACTTATTTTGACAATACCGTCCATAGTGGCAGCATTGTTTGTCGGCTCCTGGACTGACAAGTATGCCGGTGCCAAAAAAATATTGATGATTGCCGGTGCACTCAATGGTATTGCCGAAGCTGTCATCTTAATGTTCAATATATACTTTTACGACATATGTATGAAATGATTTTTGATTAGAAAAAATATTTATAAGATATATAATATTTTGTTATTTTCATATTTTAATGACAGCACCGTTGTATATACTGATGGCAACAATACCAATAATTTTTTCTGGTGGTATGCTATCAATGGCTACGGCTTTCTGGGCCTATACTGTACTGACAACACCGTTACACATGTTAGCACTCAGGATGACTGTCAATGAGATTGTCACATCCATAGGTATATACCGGTATATCATATTATATTTATAAACATCAATATAATAATATTAATAATTAAATTACTATTATATATAATTAGCTGGTATTTTGGGTACATATGTCGGAGGAAAAATAATTGCCTCTTCTCCGATGTTAAACGGGGGTCAACTGCACAACTATACAGCTATTAGTTTATTATCGGGTGGTTTGTATACAATTGCATTGCTGTGGACTATATTTATGATAAATGAACGAAGAGATCAAAAACGGTTTTACAAACTGTTTGCAAAAGAATCGGAACAACTGTCTAATAATGACGAGGGAAGAGCTCTTCTATCAGAGGACGGACACCACAGAGATAATCATAGACGACGAGTACATCCCATAAAATCTTTGTTTAATATCAATAATATCAAAGAGATGCTAATCACATGCTGTAAGCCACGTAGACATTATGTGCGCCTACAGATTTGGCTACTGATTCTTTCAATGGCTATACTGGTGCTCGCATACATGGGTCCACTCATATTCCTGTTTCCATTTGTTCAAAAGATTTATCAGTGGGACTCTGAAACCTATAGTACTATGAATGCTCTCAATGGTTTGGTATCATCACTGTGTACTATATTTATCGGACCATTATTTATAAAGGTATGACTTTTTCTGTGTGTTAATAACACAATGTTTTTACTATACAAACAAACAACTTATGATTTGTTTTATTTTTAGATATTAGGATTTAAAGACACAACTCTAGCACTGGTAGGCTTGTTTTCGTTTGTGGCACAAACCACTATCCGAGGAATTATATTAAATCCTAATGGCTTCTACCTGTCCATACCTATGGGTGCATTGGGACCGATCGGTTTTATCGGTATTCGGTCGCATTTTTCCAAAATTGTAGAACCAGACGAATTGGGAAAAGTTAGCTCATTGATGGGTGCAGTCGACAGTATTGTACCATTGATAGGATCGGCAATATTTACGGCTATATTTAAGTCTACTATGGATACAATGCCTGGGATGTCATTTCTCATAACTAGTAGTCTATTTATAATACCGCTATCAGTGTTGCTATGGATTCACTTTTACACTGTTTTACCACATTTACAACAACCACCTGTAGTCACAATTCTAAACAATGATATTGAAATTATTGATGACATTCAAGTATATAATAATAATAATAAGTAAAATAATGTTAAATAATTTATTTTCATATATATATATATACTGTATTATATATACTGGTATTATAATATTATAATTTATATCTTATTTATTGATAATAATATTTTCTGCATATATTGTAAATATAAATTAACAGAAACTGTACACAATTTTTAAAAAAATTTTTTTTATACTTTATGTACTGTACAGTAAATAACTTGTAATATATGAAACTTATAAATTTTAATTTATTTATTAATGTTTTAATTTAAGTATTTTTTATATTTGTAAACATGAGAGTCATTAGTTATACAGTATGTAATTTATTTAATTGTATTTATTTAGTATTGTTTGTGCATTTTATAATTAAAATCCTAAATAATATAAATTATTTGTTTTATTTCTTAAAAAAAATTATTTTACATTTAGTTTTGATGATCAACTTCGACAACTGGCGGTGTCTACAGTGGTTGTCATACTCTGTGTGTCGACTGTTTCAATACCCGAATCTAATACACCATTACTATCTGAACCTAAATTTTTAGTCTTTATTTGTTGAAACTTTTTGCCATACGATGAGCCCATATACTCTTCGGCCAGTCGTATATACCCGTTCTCAATGCTGTCATATTGATTGAACTTTTTGATTGTCTTATTATTGCATTCAATGCGCTTCATGTCAGTCAAGTCGATGAACATCGCTATGGCCAACGGTATAACTGAAAACACTGCTAATATAAGAAAACAGAGGCCAGGGATCTGATCGATGGTCATCTGAAATACGAATGTGAATACTGAGGCGGCAATGATTGGCGCAAAACCGTCGATGACGGCCATCAATGTGAACACTTTGCCCAACTCTGACGGATCGACAATTTTAGACAAATGTGTTTTGAGACCAATTGGACCAAAACTCGATGTGGTTGTCACTATCATCGATACAAAATAGCCCATCGGATTAAGTATGAGTGCCAGTGCTAACATCTCAAGAAATGAGCCCAAGAAGCCCAGTATGGCCAGAGTCATGTCATTAAAATGAAACACCTATTGATATGTTTTTATTATTATATCGGTATATATATATATATATATATATTTGTAATCTTGTTTTTATGTAATACCTTAATAAGTACCGGTSCTAAAAATATAATGGCCATAGAGTTGGCWATCAAGCCCAAYGAACTGATTTCCGTATATATGGGTGCATCCCAACGGTATATCTTTTCGACAAACTGAAACAGATAGGCTGCCGGCGCCGCCCATATAAAATAGCACCAAAACATTCCGGCTATGATCAGCCATATCTGTGCCCTCACATAATTAGGTCTTTTCATTGACAAAGTTAAGGCAATTTCCCGGACATTGTTTATGTTGAACAGTAATCTTAACGGATGAATGTATTCACTGGTCGGCTCTAAGACAACAGTGCTGTAGTTATCATCTGTCTGTTCACCGGATTTTTCTTTATCAGGTTTACAGAGTAGAGCCTGACTTTCGTCTAACACATAATTATCAAACAATTGTTTGTCAAATTCCTGATCGATGACAAACACAGCCCAGAGGAAGGCCACAAAAGCACCCAAACTACTGATCGTAAATATAAGTCCATAGTTATGGAGCTGACCATTGGCGCCGACAATCGGGTGAATGTTAATAAGTTTGCCCGATATGTATACACCTAATGGTTGTGCTGTTGGTATTTTATATAAGTAAACTTTGAGGTCTGATAAACAATTTACAAATACARRACATACCGATAGCTACTAATACTTCCAGTGCAGTCATGCGAAGTGTGCGATACTTGACTGGTGTGGTYACCGCTACATACGAGTAGGCCGTTGTGAATGTCATGGCACCGGACAACGTGTACGGTATGAAAGATACTAATATCCATCTGATATCTGATAATCAAAATAATTATTTATTATTATAAGTAAATATAATATTTATTTAATTAGTTTAAAAACACTTTACTTAATACAATACCCATAATATTTATGAAAATCTTATACAATTCACACATTAAATATGAATTATTACATTTTTACATACCTGTGCTAAAATAATATGAACTATATGCATTCATAGCTGCTTCCATTGATTGGGTAAGGGATCCCACTATGAAAATAGCTTTTCTCCCRTTGACATACTTGTCTACCCAGGGACCTAAAAATATTGACCAAACAATGCCCGGAGCCATTGTGATCCACGTGTGATACATATTGTATTTGACGGCATCTGATAATATRCGAGTTTTTATGTCGATCTCCGGGTCATCATCAGTCATATACGGCAGATCACAGCAAAACTCGACACTCATATTATAGACATTACGGCACAGTTTGTCTTGAATAAGCACTTCCAACGGTGTCTTACGAAAGTATGAACTGAAATACAGTATTATGAGAAACGGCTCCACTCTTAACAATGAAACAAATTGTATGATTGATTTGAAACTCATATTATTTTTTAAAGAAATATTTTTAATAATAAATAATAAAATATAAACTTAATATTTCTTAATTAATTTTCTACTTTTTTTTAAAAAAAGAAGTTTAAACTAAATGCTAAAAAACTTTTATTATTTTAATTTTTGCTGTATTACATGAATTATTGATATACAAGCTATTTAACTAGAAGCTACTTTAATTTTATTTAATATTTGTTTTTATTTTTTTAAAATGAAATTAAAATGAAATTTTTAAAGTTTACAAATTAATATAAACAATTGATGTCTAATCTTGTTTCCACTCTTTTCTAGTATTATATTAGTGGTGTGATTGTGAGCATTCAATTAAATAATATGATATCACTTTTATTTAAAATATTATTTTAGAAATATTTAAAGTTTATTTTAAATATTTTATCTTATTTTTTATATTGCATTTTACTGAATAAGCAAAAGTTTCATATGTTTTTAATTAAAAAAAAGAAATAATGATAACATTATACTGAAGTACTTTTCTTTGGTTTTGTTGTGAAATATTATTATGATATTGTAATTAAAAATTTTTTAATTATGACAAAATCATTAAATATATCCTTTGATATAATTAATTGGAAAAATCTATTTTTTTTATTTATGATATGATATTGATTTTTCAATATTAATTTTATAATATGGTACAGAATTTTTTTATTGTTGATAAAATTATATCATATTTTATAATAACAAATAATATAATATTCTTGATATATTTTGATGATAATACCAATGACATTGATCATTGAATGTCTGATTTTATACAATGATGTACTCTTGTCTTAACAAAATATCTATATATACCGGTATATCATGTGTTAAACTAAATTTAGACATATTTATATAATATGCGATAATTAATTTTATTAACAATATTTTAAATTAATATAAATTGATATTAGTTTTTAATAATATAATAAAATACTATTATTTTTCTACAATTCTACAATAATTATTATTTAGATATGAATATATAATAAACATATATAAACTTAAATTATTAATGTATTACTTTTATCATATTTAATTGGTTGCATAATTACTATCGTAAATATTATAATATATATAAAATTATAAAATTAATATACATTAATGCAAAAAAATAACTGATATAACAATTTAAATTATTGATAACTGCAGTTTACATAACTATTACTGTAAACTACAATTAGTGTATTAACGTTAAAGTTATATGTTTATATAATTTATAAATATGTGTAATTTAGACGTAATGTATTTTTATTAAGTAATTTATTTATAAGTATTTATATATAGTATATAAAGTTTAATAAATCTATTTTAGTTATACTAAAAAACACTAAATTTTTAATACAGTAACAATTGATTGGAAATGATAAAACATAATTTAGTAAAAAAATTGTTAAATAAATTATAATACAATATTAAAACTGACAATATAAACAATATAATTACTTAATGTATAACTTTCACTGTTTATCACTATTATTGATCGCAAATTTTGTTGTATTAGTATTGCCAGTTAAATAATTTAGTTGTGCTGAATATTTTTGCCTTTCCCTATAAAATTTTATTTTAAAAATAAATTATACTAATTTTTTTACTAAATTATTTATATTATATAAAGGATATTAAATAGCATACTTTTTATCCATAGAACTCATAAATTTGATATCAATTTGTGTAACATTTATTTGGGTAATTGACGATAAATTATAACGAGCTAATACATCATTAGTGGTATTAATAATACCAAATTTTTTTATAGTCATCTCTGCACTTGTAATTACACCCAAATGTTTAGCACTGGTATACAAATGATTGTACGACTGATTGATTTTCAATTGAGATGAATGTATTGTAAATTCAACCGTATTGTTTGGATTTAATATTAATGTCAGATTAAGATAACCGTAACTAAACTTTTTGTTAATATAAATCTTATTTTTAAAGAAAAAAATATCATTAATTTAAAAGTTTTAAATAGAAAATTAATAACATTAACAAAAATTTATATATAATTACAACAATTTGGTAGTGAAACAGACAGTAAGGATCAGTATCTGTTGTGAGAAAATAATAATTATTGTTAACTAATGTCAAGTTTTTATCATTTATCGGATTTTTCCAGTAATTGATGTCAAACTCTACTGGTTTACATCTCTGTCCATCACTACCACAATCGGCACAATTGCCTTTAAGAAACTCATTATAACTATCGCAGTGATAACCAATCATTTTGCAACTATTAGTTGATCTTAATTTTCTGTTGGCTATAAGCAACTGATGAACTCTTTGATGATTGCAATCTCCAACTTTAGCATCACTTTCTTTAGTTTTAACAAAAACCACAATTATATGATATTTTTAATTTTATATATACACTAACTTTTGTTCATATTAGCTATAAAGGATGAAATGCTTGATATACAACCTGGTTGTCCCGTACCTAATATATATATATATATATATGGATAGTTATTTTAATAAATAATCAACAATTATAACAATACTTTTTATGTATATTTAATAGTAAATAGTATGAAACCTCCATTTGGTCTAAAATCGTAATGACCCAATGAATCCGATTGTCCTAAATAACCACTCATTTGTATTAAATCATCATATGATCCATCTATTAATTAATATTAGGATAATAGATGTAACAAATGTGATTTAATAATAATAAATTAGTAAAATAAAATACATGATGAAAYATATATTTGTAAAAATATTTTACCCCATTTAGTCAGACCACCACTTGTATGTGTAACCACAACTAGCTTAGCATCGGATGGCAGCAAACGTTTATTTGTTGACCAAAATCCAAACCCTGCGGGATCTAAACCGGAAATTTGTCCGATTTTAGGATCGGTAAAGTTTTTGCCGGCAAATCCACAAACATGTGCCCCAAGACTGTGACCAATTAGATGAATGTTTTGTAGATTGACTCCCATTGTATTTAATGTCCGTATAAAGTATGCCAACATTGAGCCAACTATTTGAGTATTGAATGCCGAGTTAAAGTAATTATCATCGGATGCCGGTATTTTCCAATCATATATTATTACATTAAAATTGTAACCAAGAAAATAATCACGCATATCCTAAAATACAAATTTTAAAAATTAAAATTTTACTATTTTTAAAAATTATTATTATTATTTCAATACATCCATCCACTGTCTATTTCCATAATAATCAAACCATCCGTGAGTTATAATGACTGTCCTCTGATTGATTGATAAATTACTTTTCATAATATCAACAACCGGTGAATTAAATGCAAAATTTTTACTAATAATGCCTTTATTTGTATGATTTCTAAATAATATAAAACTGACATTCATATCATCCGGACTTATTGGACAATTAATTAGTAATTGTCTCAATGAAAATCTATTCAAATCATCAGTTTGTTGTGTAGTATTTGTATTATTTTTAATCCATGCCTTATTATTTTGATTGCTTGTATAGCTTGAAAAACAACCTAAATTACTAAAACATGTTTGTCTTGCACCTGTCAAAATTAATTAAATAATTATTAATTTAAAAATATTATAGACAAATAATATTTTTTTGATATTTTATTTTTATTATTGACTTACAATTTCTTTTTGCAACTGTTTTTTGAGTAACCTTTGAAATAATAGAGTAAATAAAAATATTTATAATAAAATACTTGAAGTATAATAAATACCATAATTGGATAGACAATTGACTTACATTGACAGGGACTGCATTAATAACAAACGGTGCTATCAAAATAATTATTAATAAATTACAATTTTTATGAAATATCATCATAATCATTTTATATAATATTTTAAAAATGGTATACATTTAACTTTTATTTAGGTGTGTAATTGTAAATAATAAATCACACATATGTTTAAAAAATACGTATGATTTAATTATACTATTTACAATTTACTAATAAATGAATATATATATATATCAGGGTTAAGCAAGGTTTTGGATTTTAGGGGGGTAGACCGGGGTAAAATTTACAAAATTCTCAAAAAATCTTGGGGGGGGGGGGGGTATTGGGTGGGGTAAGATTTTTATTGCATTTTTAAACGGCAATTTTTTCAAAAATCCAAAGTCAAGGGGGGGGGGGGGGGGGGGGGGGGGGGGGGGGGGGGGGGGGGGGGGGGGGGGGGGGGGGGGGGGTCTAGAGAAAATTCCCTAAAAATTCCTTAAGTTCCCGAATATTCCCATGTAAATTCAATAAAATTCCCACAAGTTCCCGTATAAATTCCCGGGAAAATAGGTAAAATTTCCAAAAATATAAAAAAAACTAAAAACTTAAAAATTAACAAAAATTTAAATTTTAACAAAAAATAAATATTTTTAAAAAAAATTTTTTTAAATTAATAAAAACTATATACTATAACTTATATAACTAATAAAAAAATAAAATAATGTATTTAAGATTTAAAAATAGTTGATAAAAGCATTAATGATACACTATGAGTTATTTTTAGTATTTTAATAATTTTTAACTTTTAACATAATTTTTTTTTTAAAATACTTAATGTTTATAGTTTGTTATATATTTTTATTTTTATACAAATACTGACTGAATACTACTTATTTAACTCAAATTTCGTTAAAGTTTAATTATATTAAGTACAAAATTGAAAATATTTTTAAATTTTTTATTTAAAATTTAAAAATTATTAATAAAAACATAAGTATTTATTGTTTTATTAACTTCTTAAACTTATATTTAAATTGTAATATGATTACTCTTTTCAACAAATAGGTAATTTTTAATTTTTTAGTTTATTTTAATTAAAATAATGTTATTTTTTGATGACTTTTAACGTTATTTTAACTATTTTTAATCAATAATTAGATTTTTATAAATATTAAAAACATAAAAACACTTACTAAAATAGTATCAACTAAAATTAAAATTTTTATAAATTTCAAAAAAATTTTCGGCGCCTTCGGCGCCGAAATTTTAGGGGGGGGGGGTCATTTCTCCTCGTTTTTAAGCGACAATTTTTTCAATTTGGTCAAAAAGTCTGGGGGGTAAAATCCCAATTTCTCGATCTTAGGGGGGGGGTATTTTGGCCTTACCCCCCCTACCCCCTTACTTAACCCTGATATATATATATATATATAATATGATAATAATAATACCTTTTAATTATTTTTTTTACAAATAATTCAAATATATAAATTTACAAAAAAGTATATACAGTAGATATAGAGTATTTATCAAATTTAGCATTATTATCAGAAATTAACAATTATGGTTAAATATAATTTGTGCTTAAATAATGTATGTATGAATCAAATATGGTATGACAATACTGTTAGGACTGTCAAATTTATCATTTTAATTATTTTAAAATTTTGCTATAGAAATATAAATTTAAATATAATATTTTATAACATAAAAATAATTTAGATAAAATAAAGTTAGACTTTTAAAATTTATTTAATGGTACAATATGTTTGTACTGTTTAGATTTTAGATTTTTTTTATCAATGTTATTTTAGTACTAATATTAATATTTCTAGAATGATTGTATTTTTTAAATAAATGTAAAAGTTTAAATATAATACATTAACATTTATATCAATATTAGTTTTTTCAAATTTCATCTCATTAATATTATTATCATTATAATTTCTCAATAATAATAATAATAATAATAATATGTAAAGTATATTTTGAATTTATGTTATTTTATTAAATATAGAATTTAATTTTATATCTATTCCCAGAATAAATACCATATATATCTATATATTGACACAATTGTATTAATGAATTTTATTATTTTAAACTTAAACTATTTTATAACTTAAATATAGTATGAGATTTACTTTCTCTACTTTAACCTATTTATGGTATATCTATATTTGTCATACACTAGCATAAACTACACATTACCATTGTAAGGGTCAGTTGACCCCATTAAACACTATACACTAATTAAACACATTTTTGATAATATTTCTCTAAATATAATTAACTCATAAATTTAGACTTCAAATATCAATCACATACACGTTGACACACATACAAACTTAATGTTATTAAAATCCTTGACCGGGATCACCGCCAAAAGACACTATAAACTTCAGGTCACATATCATCCTATATAAGCTGGTGTCCCACTTAACTCACCATTCGGTGACTGAGACTCATACCCAACACATCAATCTAAATGCCACACATCAGGAGCCCACTCCAAACAACCGGATCACAAGACATCCAAAATACCACTGTTCCCAAAACAGTAACAATCAATAGTGTGGTCACTAAACTACAAATAACTCATCACCGTCTCAACTATTATACAATTATACTAAAAACTTGTGTAACCTTTACTTTTAATTTTTTTAACTAAATAAATAACTTTCAAACCTACAACACGACGGCAAACCCATCATTTATTTTACAAGTCGGCAGGATTAGTGTAGCCGAAAAAGTGCATTCTATCTACAATCCAATGAACATTTTTAAACTTGTGATTTCAACCGTTATCATCATATTATTTGTTTCTATTCATCAAGTTTTTGGTTACGGAGCCATCATCGGTGCTATTTTTAGAGGCATTGGTATCGCAGCAAAAACAACAGTTAAGAAAACGGTACCATTCATCGCAGCAGACGCAATAGTTATCGGTGGTGTAGCAGCGTACAATCATTTCAATGGCGAAAAAGAAAACAACGCGACGACAACCGTCAACTCAACGACAACCAGTAGACCAGAACACCGAAACAGAAATCGCTCCAAACGTCCCAAACGAATCAACACAAGACAACATACCACAAACACCACTCAACCTTCCCATCCTCAGCGACAACGAGTCGACCGATTCGGAAAAGGAGGGCCCAATCAACACTTACGCAAAAATTAGTAAGCATAAAATACAAATTTATAAAGGTCTAAATGACAAAATTACTATTGTTAATTGGCTCAAGAGATTTGATATGATCTCTGACTTTAACTCGTGGTCAGACAAACAAAGAGCTGTAATGATAGGAAATTATTTAGAAGATGATGCCTTAAATTGGTACATCGAAAACTTTGATAACAATAACTTTTCTAGCATTAAATCTAAACTAATTAATAGATTTGGTTTAACTACTGTTGAACCTATTGTCGATTTTATTGACCACAAATATGATGTTAAAGTCGGTATCAAAGACTACTTTGAGACCAAAAGACGCTTCGGTATTGCTGCGAAATTGACAGAAACACAAATCATACCTATTATGATACACCACTTACATCCACAATTAATTAATGCGTTTACGGCTGTAAAACCCAAAACTTTTGCTGAGTTTTACACTATTGCACAAACAGCCGAAAATAATTTTAAGCGCTCAAATTATTATGTAAAAAGCAATGCAAATGTCTTATCTCAAGATCGCTCAAACATATTTCCTGAGTCTAAACAAACCAATAAAAACATTTCTAATCCTAATCCACCTAATACTCCGTGTGGTATATGCGCTAAGTTAGGCTTCCGCAATAGATACCATTGGGTAATAGATTGCTTCAATAATAAAGCAAACAAAGCTAATCCCCAATCAAACCTTACTGTTCCTAAAACAGTCAATATTATTGATCAAATTGATAACGAAAATGATATCAATAAAATTGAAATAGACTAATTTTAACTAAAAAAATAAATAAATAATAACCTAAAATTTAGTTATTAAATAATAAAACCACAATTATTAACAAATAATATTTACACTGGAACCAAAGCCAGATTACCCTCTATTAATCATATAGCATTACATATTAACCCATTTCAATAAACCAAAGCACTGGAACCAAAGCCTGTTTAGCTATTTATAGGTCATAAACCATAGTTAAAATATTTCATAATTAATCAATTCAGGCACTGGAACCAAAGCCAGGATTAGCCGTCAACTTGTGTCCATCAAGTGACAAAAATTAATACATTTTTTAAATATTAAATAATTTTTATCAGTACTAAGTACATAAAAATATAATATTAAAAAAATTCTATTTTCTATTTTATCTATTAAATCAATTAATTAACTTAAGATAATACATTTGCAATGTTTTGTAGCGCTACACAAAAAATTACATTAATTATCTAATTACATTAAATCATTACAAAACAAAAAATTATTAAATTTAATTTTCATATACTAATTTTGTAAATCCCTCTAACGCCTCTTTTTAAAACAGGGGGATGTAAAGTATATTTTGAATTTATGTTATTTTATTAAATATAGAATTTAATTTTATATCTATTCCCAGAATAAATACCATATATATCTATATATTGACACAATTGTATTAATGAATTTTATTATTTTAAACTTAAACTATTTTATAACTTAAATATAGTATGAGATTTACTTTCTCTACTTTAACCTATTTATGGTATATCTATATTTGTCATACACTAGCATAAACTACACATTACCATTGTAAGGGTCAGTTGACCCCATTAAACACTATACACTAATTAAACACATTTTTGATAATATTTCTCTAAATATAATCAACTCATAAATTTAGACTTCAAATATCAATCACATACACGTTGACACACATACAAACTTAATGTTATTAAAATCCTTGACCGGGATCACCGCCAAAAGACACTATAAACTTCAGGTCACATATCATCCTATATAAGCTGGTGTCCCACTTAACTCACCATTCGGTGACTGAGACTCATACCCAACACATCAATCTAAATGCCACACATCAGGAGCCCACTCCAAACAACCGGATCACAAGACATCCAAAATACCACTGTTCCCAAAACAGTAACAATCAATAGTGTGGTCACTAAACTACAAATAACTCATCACCGTCTCAACTATTATACAATTATACTAAAAACTTGTGTAACCTTTACTTTTAATTTTTTTAACTAAATAAATAACTTTCAAACCTACAACACGACGGCAAACCCATCATTTATTTTACAAATATATAAAGCAAATATATGATAACTTATTTTAATTTATAAGTCAATTTTAGTACTGTATTAACTKTTTACTGACTGTCTTCTTAGTTAACTATTTTAGCCACTGTTTATTATTTATGTYATTATTTCAAATTATGTGAATCATAAGTTTTAACTAAATACTAAAATAGTTATGAGTATTTAATTTAATTTATAAATAACCATAAAATAAAATATGACTTACTTATAGCAAATTACATAAATAAATTAAATTTTATTTTGAAAATGTTAAATATTTTTATGGAAATTTTTATCATTTAAATTTTATGCTTATTATCAAACTTTTKAATWAATTTTATTTTTAAAAATTGATAACAAATCAAAATAAATTCAAATAAATAAAAMCATGTTTAATATTATATTTTATTGTATTGATCATCAGATTTTAAAAGATGTAATATATTTAATAAATAGTTTATACGATCATTAAGTTGTTTTTGTATTAATTTGTTATCATTTAACTGTTTGTCTAAATCACGAATCTGTTTGATAATCGATATTTCATCCAATATTTCTTTTTCTTCCTGATGTCTGGTTTCAGTTATATCCAAATCCGATGCATTCGTACAGATGACTGTCTCTGTAGGTATGATCAGCTTTTTGCTATTATAATCACTCTTATCAATAACGACTTCCCGATTAATATGACTACCAATTGTTACCCAATCTATGTTTTCATCCACAGAGCTGTTGGTGGTTGTGTTATGTTGTAGTGTTTTCATATCTATTGATATTAGTATATATATATATATATATATATTAAAAATTTATTATACTTTATAATCACTAGTTTTTTTAATTTTTCAATAAATAAATAAATAAATAATCATCAAATACCACACTTAGATCTTAATTTATTTTTCCACTCTCTGATTGTCTCTTTAGCCGATTGTATCCATTGTTTAGTGTCATGTATTGCATATYTAAACTGRTCTTTTATATTTTTGTATGCTAAATAATTATATATATATTTAATATTTTATAAAGATATTTATTTAAATTTATAATTAAATCTTAATAATTAGATAAACAAACCATCTTTTAGAAAGTGTCCGACAGGTTTGTCCCAAAAATTAGCTGAAATACTGCTTATTAATACAAACATTAATATTAAAACTTTCATTGTTTTTGTTTAATTTTTATTTAGAATAGTAATAATTTATTAATCAATTGATTTATTTGATAAAAATAAATATAATATTTTGATATAAGCTATATTTGTCTAATAGTAATACTAATTATAGTACAGTATTACTAATTTTTATGTAAACAACATTTTATTTTTTTTCATATACTGTACAGTATTTTCAGTATTTATAGTTTTAATCAAATAAAAAATATAGTATTTAAAAAATACGAGAAAATTTCTTAAAAATTTCTAAAATAATTTTATTTATATCGGAGTCCTGTTATTTATCAATTTTTAGTTTAATTATTTAGATGAATTGTAATTGAATATTACTATTTTTTTATTCAAATTTCTAGAAATATTTCTATATGTAAAATATTAATAGTATTACACTATTCTATACGAACATACGGTTTCTGTTTAATTAAAAATCTATTTATTATTAAAATTTCATTATTAAATACAATAATTTTTTTAATAATTTTATTCTACAAATAGTAACCTACAATGTATTAATTAAATTAAATTAATTAAAAACAACTAAATTTTAGACGACCCCCACTATATTATGCTTTTTCCTATAGCTTAAATGCTATCCCAACCTAACTAGGAGAGGGCCGTTTGTATCTTCCATACCCCCACCCGTATAATACATAACACAGTAAAGTACATTTAAAAGCACTGTATGATTTTCAAAGCTAAATTTGCATACACTACAACACTGCATATACTGTAGTATAAACTTTGCATACAATATAAATTTAAATTGCTATCAAAATACACTATAAATTATTAATTATTTTCTAAAAAATTAATTTAAGATCACTAGACATTTTATATCCAGTGTCCATCATATAGTTAACCTGATATTTATTATAGAGACATAAGTTATATTTCAAAATTAATAATAAATAGAAATTTTATTAATAGAATAAAAATTCATTTTATTGTATAGTATTTATTATGCATAATATTCAACAAAAATTCATAATATAATAATTTTTATAATTTATAAAAGTAAACATAAGCATACATTGAGTTTTTTTGTACATAAAATATTAAACATTCATTTTCTTAAAGAAAATATTAATATTTTATATAAACATTTAATAATATACAATATTTTTAAGTTAATGCAAATTTTTATTTTAAACATATTTCATAGAATATTATTTTAAAATCAAATGTTAGCAAATAGTATTAAAAAGAGACACAAACAAAATTAATTACTATTTATAAGCAATTATTTGTTATGAATTTTTTAATATTTTACAAATTAATAATAATTTTAATATTGAGATTTAAATTAAATTTAGTAATCGTTTTGAGTTTTTAGTTAATATCAGTGGATCCGCCCAACTGAGCGTTAAAACCGATACCATTTTTGCCACCAATATCTACTGAAGCTTGTCCTCCGACTGATGGATCAAAATCAATACCAGAGCTCACACCTCCCTGTGCTTGTCCTCCGACTGATAGATCGACTGATGGATCAAAATCAATACCAGAGCTCACACCTCCTTGTGCTTGTCCTCCGACTGATAGATCAGCTGATCCAGAATTCTCACCTCCCTGTGCTTGTCCTCCGACTGATAGATCAGCTGATCCAAAATCAATCTCACACTCCCTGTGCTTGTCCTCCGACTGATAGATCAGCTGATCCAGAATTCTCACCTCCCTGTGCTTGTCCTCCGACTGATAGATCAGCTGATCCAGAATTCTCACCTCCCTGTGCTTGTCCTCCGACTGATAGATCAGCTGATCCAGAAYTCWCACCTCCCTGTGCTTGTCCTCCGACTGATAGATCAGCTGATGGATCAAAATCAATACCAGAACTCACACCTCCCTGTGCTTGTCCGTCAAGTTTGCCAGTTAGATCATTGACAGTACCGCTAACTTGATCAGGTAGTCGCCCAGCTATATCTAATCCCTGATGGACAACGTCTCCCATTGAACCAACTCCTTGATTAACAACATTGCCTACTGTATCCAAACCACCATCAATTGTTCCCTCTATGTTTCCCAATCCATCAGTAAGTCCACCAACAAGATTGGATGCACCATTTAACGCACCTATATCATAGTTATGTTGTCTTTATTATATGCAGCATATTGTGTACTATAATAGATAATATTTTTTAAAACTACCTTGCTCCAAATTTTTCTTAAACTCCAAGCCTTTATCAGCCAAACCAATGCCCCCGTGTACCAGACCTTTACCCAAATCTATACCGTTTTTGGCGAGTCCACCGACTAAACCAGCTCCTTTATTAACAACATTGCCTGCTGCATCCAAACCACCGCTAATTGCACCCTCTACTCCTCCCAGTCCACCACTTAGTCCATCAGTAAGTCCACCCACGAGATCGGATGCACCTTTGAGCGCACCTATAATATAATAAAGTAGTATTAATTTATTATATATATTTTTATCATAATGATATTATTCTAAAAAACTACCTTGTGCCAAGTTTTTCTTAAACTCAAGCCCTTTATTAGCTAAATCAATGCCTCCGTGAACCAAACCTTTACCCAAATCCATACCGTTTTTGGCGAGTCCACCGACTAAACCAGCTCCTTTATTAACAACATTGCCTGCTGCATCCAAACCACCGCTAATTGCTCCGTCTACTCCTCCCAGTCCACCAGTTAATCCATCAGTAAGTCCACCCACGAGATCGGATGCACCTTTGAGCGCACCTATAATATAATAAAGTAGTATTAATTTATTATTTATATTTTCAAATATAATGATTTTATTCTAAAAAACTACCTTGTTCTAAGTTTTTCTTAAACTCGAGGCCTTTATTAGCTAAACCAATGCCTCCGTGAACCAAACCTTTACCCAAATCCATACCGTTTTTGGCGATTCCACCAATTAAATCACCTCCATTTTTAACAACATTACCTACTTTATCCAAACCACCGCCAATTACTCCGTCTACTCCTCCCAATACACCAGTTAGTCCATCAGTAAGTCCACCCAAAAGATTGGATGCACCATTCAATGCACCTATAATACAACATAATAATTTAATTAAAACTATATATCTCAAACTACAGTATACCAAAGTTTTCAAACTACCTTGTTCCAAATTTTTCTTAAACTCAAGCCCTTTATTTGCTAACCCAATGCCTCCGTGGACCAGACCTTTACCCAAATCAATACCGTTTTTGGCGAGTCCACCGACTAAACCACCTCCGTTTTTAACAATATTGCCTACAGTATCTAAACCACCACCAATAGCTCCGTCTACACCTCCCAGTACACCAGTGAGTCCATCAGTAAGTCCGCCCACGAGATTAGATGCACCATTCAATGCACCTACAGTATAATAATGTAGTATTTATTATTTATATATTTTTTTTAATTATAATTTGTATTATTGTAAAACTACCTTGTTCCAAGTTTTTCTTAAACTCAAGCCCTTTATTAGCTAACCCAATGCCCCCGTGCACCAAACCTTTACCCAAATCTAAACCGTTTTTGGCGAGTCCACCGAATAACCCCGCTCCTTTATTAACAACATTACCTGCTGCATCCAAACCACCAGCAATTGCTTTATCTACGCCTCCCAATACACCTGAAAGTCCATCAGTTAGTCCACCCACAAGATTGGATGCACCATTCAATGCACCTGTAATATAGTTAAGATAATTTGAGTATAAAGTCTATGAGTCATATAATTGTATAACATATATAATTGTTTACTAACGTTATATAAAAGTCATAAGCAATAAGTTTTCTCATATAAATTTTTTAAGTATCTAACATACAGTATATATAATGCTATATATAAATTATTAATATTATTTAAATTATAAAAACCTAATAACAATAGAATAACAATGTAATATCAAAAAAATAAGTAAAATAATACTATAGTTAGTTTTAAAATTTATATTAGTTTATATGAGCAGCAATTTAATAACATATAATGTTTAGACCACTAGATTTCATAATAAGGATAAAAACAAGTTTACTAAAAAATCATTTGATTCCTAATGGTATATACGACTACTGAATAACGGATTATAAATTACATTATAAATTATATGATAATAATATGAAACATATTATATGATCATTCAAATACTGTTTATTTATAATAATTATATATATTTAAAAAATACCTTGTTCCAAATTTTTTTAAACTTTAAGCCATTATCAACCAAACCAATGCCTCCGTGAACCAAACCTTTGCCAATATCTATACCGTTTTTGGCGAGTCCACCGACTAAACCACCTCCGTTTTTAACAACATTGCCCACTGTATCCAAACCACCGCCAATTACTCCGTCTACTCCTCCCAATACACCACTTAGTCCATCAGTAAGTCCACCCACGAGATCGGATGCACCTTTCAAAGCACCTACAATATAATAGAAAATGTTAATTGGTTGTGTATTATAATTGGAAATATTCTAAAACTACCTTGTTCCAAGTTTTTCTTGAACTCAAGCCCTTTATTAGCTAAMCCAATGCCCCCGTGAACCAACCCTTTGCCCAAATCAATGCCGTTTTTGGCGAGTCCACCGACTAAACCAGCTCCTTTATTGACAACATTGCCAGCTGCATCCAAACCACCACCAATAACTCCGTCTACACCTCCCAGTACACCAGTAAGTCCATCAGTAAGTCCACCCAAAACATTGGATGCACCATTCAATGCACCTKTAATACAACATAGTAATAATAATTTAATWAAAACTATATGTCTCATACTACAGTATACAAAAGTGTATGATAATAATATAATCATCAAAATACAAATTTTGTGTATAATAATAATTTTTTCAAACTACCTTGTTCCAAATTTTTCTTAAACTCAAGCCCTTTACCAGCAAAACCAATGCCCGCGTGAACCAAACCTTTACCCAAATCCATGCCGTTTTTGGCGAGTCCACCGACTAAACCACCTCCGTTTTTAACAATATTGCCTACAGTATCTAAACCACCACCAATAGCTCCGTCTACACCTCCCAGTACACCAGTAAGTCCATCAGTAAGTCCACCCACGAGATTAGATGCACCATTCAATGCACCTACAGTTTAATAAAGTAGTATTTATTATTTATATATTTTTTAATTATAATTTGTATTATTATAAAATTACCTTGTTCCAAGTTTTTCTTAAACTCAAGCCCTTTATTAGCTAACCCAATGCCCCCATGCACCAGACCTTTACCCAAATCWATACCATTTTTGGCGAGTCCACCGACTAAACCAGCTCCTTTATTAACAACATTGCCTGCTGCATCCAAACCACCGCTAATTGCACCCTCTACTCCTCCCAGTCCACCACTTAGTCCATTAGTAAGTCCACCCACGAGATCGGATGCACCTTTGAGCGCACCTATAATATAATAAAGTAGTATTAATTTATTATTTATATTTTTTTATTATAATGGGTATTATTGTAAAACTACCTTGTTCCAAATTTTTCTTAAACTCAAGCCCTTTATTAGCTAACCCAATGCCCCCGTGCACCAGACCTTTACCCAAATCTATACCGTTTTTGGCGAGTCCACCGACTAAACCACCTCCGTTTTTAACAATATTGCCTACAGTATCTAAACCACCACCAATAGCTCCGTCTACACCTCCCAGTACACCAGTGAGTCCATCAGTAAGTCCGCCCACGAGATTAGATGCACCATTCAATGCACCTGTAATATAGTTAAGATAATTTTATTATAAAGTCTATGAGTCATATTATTGTATAACATATATAATTGTTTACTAACGTTATATAAAAGTCGTTAGTAATAAGTTTTCTCATATAAATTTTTTATAAACTATCTAACATATATATAATGCTATATATAAATTATTAATATTATTTAAATTATAAAAAACATAATAACATTAGAATAACAATGTAATATCAAAAAAATAAGTAAAATAATACTATAGTTAGTTTTAAAATTTGTATTAGTTTATGTGAGAAACAATTTAATAACATATAATGTTTAGACCACTAGATTTCATAATAAGGATAAAAACAAATTTATGAAAAAAATCATTTGATTCCTAATGTTATATACGACTACTGAATAACTGATTATAAATTACATTATAAAGTATATGATAATAATATGAAACATATTATATGATCATTCAAATACTGTTTATTTATAATAATTATATATATTTAAAAAATACCTTGTTCCAAATTTTTTTTAAACTTTAAGCCATTATCAACCAAACCAATGCCTCCGTGGACCAAACCTTTACCCAAATCAATACCATTTTTGGCGAGTCCTCCAACTAAACCACCTCCGTTTTTAACAATATTGCCTACAGTATCTAAACCACCACCAATAGCTCCGTCTACACCTCCCAGTACACCAGTGAGTCCATCAGTAAGTCCGCCCACGAGATCGGATGCACCTTTGAGCGCACCTATAATATAATAAAGTAGTATTAATTTATTATATATATTTTTAATTATAATTTGTATTATTGTAAAATTACCTTGTTCCAGGTTTTTCTTAAACTCAAGCCCTTTATTAGCTAACCCAATGCCCCCGTGTACCATACCTTTACCCAAATCTATACCGTTTTTGGCGAGTCCACCGACTAAACCAGCTCCTTTATTAACAACATTGCCTGCTGCATCCAAACCACCGCTAATTGCACCCTCTACTCCTCCCAGTCCACCACTTAGTCCATCAGTAAGTCCACCCACGAGATCGGATGCACCTTTGAGCGCACCTATAATATAATAAAGTAGTATTAATTTATTATATATATTTTTATCATAATGGGTATTATTCTAAAAAATTACCTTGTGCCAAGTTTTTCTTAAACTCAAGCCCTTTATTAGCTAAATCAATGCCTCCGTGAACCAAACCTTTACCCAAATCCATACCGTTTTTGGCGAGTCCACCGACTAAACCAGCTCCTTTATTAACAACATTGCCAGCTGTATCTAATCCACCACCAATAATTCCGTCTACACTTCCCAGTACACCAGTGAGTCCATTAGTAAGTCCTCCCACGAGTTTGGATGCACCATTCAATGCACCTACAGTACAATATAATAAAATAATGTTAATTTTATTTTTAATTTATAATATAATATAAATATTATTCAGAGAAAATCCATACCTTTTGCGAGATTTTTCTTAAATTCGATGTCTTTATCGGCTAAATCAATGCCTGCTTTCATCAAACCTTTTCCTATATCTAATCCCTTATCGGCAATTCCTCCGACTAAATGTAATCCTTGATCAGCCATATTGCCCACTCCACCCAAACCTCCATCAACTGCTCCCTTAACACCTTCCAATACATTTCCTACTGCACCCAATCCAGTGTCCAATACATTTTCGATGCCTTCGGCCACTGGACATTTGTGTCCGTCATGACTGCCCATTAGTCCGCCAGTAAGTCCACCAACAAGATTGGATACACCATTCAAAGCACCTATAATAATGCATTGATAACATTATTATATATATATATATGATTAATAGTAAACAATGAATGTTTAGAATTAAAAAACCTTTCGCCAGATCTTTCTTGAACTCAACATCTTTTTCTGCCAATTCGATGCCGTTTTTGGCCAAATTTTGTCCCAAACCAATGCCTCCTTTAACGAGACCACCGGCCAAACCGAGTCCGGTATCCAGACCTTTCTTAACCATTCCAAATGGATTAATAGCGTTGAAGAGTCCGCCAAACAAACCATCTCCCTGTCCTTTAATGTGACCATTGGTGTCTACTGAGATTTGCGCTCCGGCTTTTCCATCAACACCACCAGAAACTTGAGCCCCGGCTTTACCATTGACACCACCAGAAACTTGAACTCCAGCTTCTCCATTGACACCACCACTCAGACCGCCTTTGATGACTCCATTACCGCTTTTTTGATCATTTCCTCCAAATGACAAATCAAATCCTAAAAATCTTCGGTTTCTGGTCTCGATCTTCGACTCGTCTCTAATAAAACCGCCGCAAACGGCGGTTACGAATAGTGCGAAAATCAAAATTTTCATATTATTTTTAACTAATATTTTAGTTGTTATCTATTATTATTATTATCAAAACTATTTAATAGGCAATAATTTTATTGTTATGCGACTTGTATTTATATAAACTAATTGAGACAAGTGTTTCACTAAATGTCTAATCTTTGATGTCATATTTTGTCTTTTTTTGTAATTAGTTAACGATATATTATTTATGATTTGACAATCAAAAATATGTATTATTATTAATTGTATTATTTTATTTTACATTACAAAAATATTTACATTAATAGGATGTGGTGATCTGTTCAAAAAAGTACTAAAGTATTGTGTAATTGTGTAAAATTTTCATATTTATAATATCATTTAAATTAATGACTTTAAAAATAATGTATTAATCAATTTTGTAATTTCTATACTCTCTGTATGTTTTATTTTTGTCTAAAAAAATGTTGCTTAAGTTTTGTAATGTATTGTCGTATTATTATTCATACTGTACTTTTACAATATATACAAAATATTTTATAACTAACTTAGTATTTATGGGATTATGTAATCTGAATTTACTACTGTTTTATCTTTTAATCAAAATTTTTATTTGTAAATTTAAATTTAGGATATTCTAGTAAATAATTTTTACATAATTATTGATACGATACCAAAATCTAAGCTAACCTAACAGTTAGTGTTATTTCATTGAAACGGGTTATTCCAGACAATTGTATGGATCAGTGATGTCTTCTATGGACAGCTAACCTATTCTAAAGTACARTAAAGTTKGCWTAAGATTATGAAACAAACAATTACTAAAATTAACCCTAAGTTGCGTTAAAACTATTACATATACTATACTTCACAAGTCATATATTGATACAAATAAAACTAACTTTAGGCTCTCATTATGTTTTTTTTGAACCAATTATATACAAATGTATTTTTTAAATAATTTTTATTTTATTTAAATATTAATTAAATAATTTATTTAAAATAAAATATTGTATACAATAATAGTAACAATAATAGTAATCATTAAAGTTATTATTTTTTAATATCTAAATATYATGTAAATATCAGTAATATATAWGTAAAAATTTAAAAATGATGATTATCTTTTTGTTGTATACAATTTTTATATTTGAATATTAAATAATAATTTTGCAATTATGATTTATAGTATAAATTCTATACTAACATCGTTTTATTTAATTTATGTTTAGTCTAACTTTGATTAATAAATAAAATTATTGGGAAAACAGTTTTTCTAATAAAATTATTATTAATTTATTATTACAAAAAGTTATTTTTAAAACAAAAATGTTTTTATCAAGTGTTATGTGATATTTTTTGTTTTAGTTTTTACGTATCATATACGTGTTTTTAGTATTTAGTTTATAAATTGATTAATAATCAAATAACAATAACGTCATACATATTATAAATATATTATTAAACTATTAAAACATTAATAAATAACGAATTAATTATTATATTATCAAACATTTTATATCCTATTTTACATTAAATTTTTTAACATCTATTTAGACAAATACAGTATTTTATTTATAATACTGTATTATGCATTAGCTTAACATTTATTATCATTTAAATGAACAAACATTAATTCAATCATTTTCATTAATATCATACAAATAAATAAGACATTATTAATAAAAATTACACGATTTTTTTTAGGTAGACACAGATATAAAAAAAATATTTATTTTAGTGTAAAATACTATCAGTGTTAAAGATTTTATTATACAATAAAAACATTTCTAAACRTAATTATAATTTATAAAGTAGTTTTCACAAAAAATAAAATAATAAACTAGAAATAAAATTACAAAATATTATTTTTAAGATTTTTTATTAATTTAAAATCTTAAATTCTGTTTTACATAATTCTATAGTTTGAAAAGCATTTTAAATTATTTACGTCATTAAAAGATTTTTTAAATCTTTATAATTTGGACATTGTTTCAAACGATTTGGAGATTATAGACAATCAATTTGAAATACCGGTGCTTTACTACAATATTCTGGTTGATTATAATCGGTTCCCAGARAACAGAGTCCTCCTAACATTAGCTCACTGTTGCAGACAATCTTAYATATGTTTAGCTTATCATTTCAATTGTTACCAATTTCAAAAGTCCAACATATTGATAAAAAATCGTAAATTATTAATAGTATGGAAATGACAATTTTCATAATGTTTTTCAGTTWGTTTTCAACAAATAATATTTAAAATTCAATACTTAWTTTKTATACTAAATAGAAAATTTGAGGCATATTTATATATTGTTGAATTTTTTTTTGTAATTCAATTTTCGTTTGCCACAATTGCGGAAAATTACGTAAAATTCGTTGAGTTAATTCATTTTAATTATAATGTAAAATAAAACAWTTGATTAATAATAGTTATAGTTAACAATTTTACTTCAGTTTATCAATATTATTTATTTTAAATATTTACTATATCTAATATTAATGAAAAAAATAGTATTTATAATTAAAAGTAAATAATAAAATTATTAAGAATAAAAATAAAAATTTTGAACATTAGTTTGAATGCAATTAAAAATTTTATTTATTCATTTAAAGCTTTAAATTTGTATTACATTAGTTTATATTTCAATTAATGTATTTAGACATTGATTTTCCATAACAAATGAATTACATTTYAGCCATTTGTTTGCATTCTTGAATAGTTGAACACTGTTTTCCATCATTTATAGATTTACGACAACTTAAAACCATTATCTCGGGTTGATTACAATATTCAGGTCTGGGATGATTGGGTCCCAGACTACAGGGTCCGCCTAACTTTCGGTCACCATTACAGCCAATGTAACGAATGTTTTCTTTAATGCCATCGTTTCCATAAACCGAGTCAAACAAAGTAATGCCAAAAATGACAAATACTGATAGTGTGAAAATAAAAACTTTCATTATTTTTATAATAACTTTATATTTTTTCTTTTTTCAAAAAATAATAATTATTATTAATTCTGATATTAATATTATAATTTTTGAGCCATCTTTATATACTATCCAAACTTTACATTTGATTTGGTTAACATATATTTTGTGTCACATTTTGATTTATTCTTTAATTTTYAAATAAAATCTGTTTATTATAATTAATGTATTTATGCATAAAATTTTACATAAAAGATTGTTTAAAAATACTAATATWATAATATGTTAAGCTATATTAATGTATTCAATTAATTATTATAATTAATCTATTTTATCATGTGTTATATAACATTTTATATAAAATTTTATAAAATAATATGTAAATATAATACAATTAAAAATACATTTACATTCATCATAAAATATAAATTATATTCAATTAATAATACTAAACATTAATAGGATTGAGCAAAATATTTTAGTTTAGAGGGGGGGGTAATTAGGGAGAAAATATATRGTAATAAAATAGATTATAAACCCAATTGAGACTAAAAAGATATTTATATATGCCAGAACGGACATCCTCAAATACAATAAAAATTAGTGCAATAATAAGTCTCATTACTCGTCTAGACTAAAAGTTTACGCAACACAATTAATCTTTATTATTATTAATTTTTTTCAATAGGACTAATTTAACTTGATGCGTTTTGACAATACTATCTTAGCATTCTCAACTGACTTTTAAATTTCTCATAATCTATTTTATTACAATATATTCTACCTCTCATTACACCTCTAGACCAAAAAAAGCAACTAGCACAACCCTACTAATATTTATTACTATTATTTGAATATAATTTATAATTATGGTAAATGTAAATGTATTTATAAACGTATTATATTATTAAATTTGATATAAAATGTTATATAACATATGATAAAATAGATTAATTATTATAATTAATTGAATAAATTAATATAGCCTAACATATTAATGTATAAGTATTTTTAAACAACAATCTTTTATGTAAAAATTTATGCATAAATACATTAATTATAATAAACACATTTTATTTAAAAATTAAAGAATAAATCAAAATTTGACACAAAATAGTTGTCAAGCAAATCAAATGTAAAGTTTGGATAGTATATAAAGATGGCTCAAAAATTATAATATTAATATCAGAATTAATAATAATTATTATTTTTTGAAAAAAGAAAAAATATTAAATTATTATAAAAATAATGAAAGTTTTTATTTTCACACTATCAGTATTTGTCATTTTTGGCATAACTTTGTTTGACTCGRTTTATGGAAACGATGGCATTAAACAAAACATTCGTAAAATTGACTGTAATGGTGACCGACAATTAGGTGGACCCTGTAGTCTGGGACCCAATCATCCCAGACCTGAATATTGTAATCAACCCGAGATAATGGTTTTAAAATGTCGTAAATCTATAAATAATGGAAAACAGTGTTCAACTATTCAAGAATGTAAACAAATGGCTGAAATGGAAATTAATGATTATGATTAATCAATTGTTAAAAACATTTAACCAAACTATAAACTTATGTATTATAAAATTTAAAGCTTTAAATCAATAAATAAAATTATTATTTGCATTCAAATTAATGTCTAAATTTTAATTTTTCATTCTTAATAACTTTATTATATAATTTTTATTTTAAATACATTTTCAATAATACATAGTAAATATTTATAATAAATAAAACTACTTAACTAAATAAAATTGTCAAAATTTTATTAAATAAAGAACTTATTTTTTAGCCTAAAAAATTAACTACAAATAATACTTATAAAAGGTATTTGAAACAGATTAATATCATTAAGRAGTGATTCACATAATACGTTCGCATTTAGATATATTATTTTTTAGTGGTGAGGAGATTAGCGATTATTGATATGTAAACATAATTTCTTATAATGAATACATGCGAACAATTGCAAACATAGGGGAGGAAAGGGGTCTAGATTTTTTAAAAAACGCGAACGTAATATGTGAACAGCTCCTAATGTTTATCTTATTATATACATTGTATTTAAATTAATGTTTATAATAATCAGTAGAAATGTAATTCACATAAATATCAAAACTGTAATAACAAAATTAAAACATAAATATATTAATAGTCATTAATCTGTT